GGAAATAAGACCTGGTACCTTTCGGGTGCCAAGGCAAACATCAATTACAGCACAGTGTGAGAGGAGTCATAAGAAATACTACCGCGTATCAGTAGTTCAACAAAGTCAGCACTTTTGTGTAATTGCAGGGGAAAGGGCTGCAAAACATTACGGATCTCAGCAAGAAACGGCCCTTTATACTTTAAAACCGATCCTTGATAAAACAATGCTGGGGTCATGAGAAGGCTACTTTGCCAATTTTGCTCTCACCGTGGGATCCGCGGACATCTGGCTGAGCTGCGGAAGCTGGAAAACGTCTTTAATATTCTCCTGACAGTAAAAATGGACATGTGGAAAACATTCTAACCTGTTAATCTGTGGTGCTCCTGAAAAAAAAAGGGGGAAGAAATAAGGAGGGAGGATGGAGGGACATTTGGCTTTATACTTTGTGATGATGAATAGAATGTCTCCAGGTCCAGCTGTAAATAAGTTAATGGCACTGGAAAGGAGACGATCGTCTCTGTTTCCCCAAATGGAGCTGAAAATGAGAGTGCACCTGTGTAGCTCTCCTGCTGCCATAAATGCCAGGAGTTGCATTTAGTCTGGCCAGATAGCTGGACAACTTTATTTTTATCCTTGTAAAATGAATGAAAGAAAGAAAAGATTAGTGAAGGTTGTTTGCAATGTTTTAGGTCTTCCGCACTGACACTATTTGATGGATTGAGGCTACGACTCCCTCCCTTTTGGGCCCTCAAGATCAACCTTTTCCAACCAGGCGTGGTTGAACTACAACTCCCATCTTCCCTAGCTAGCAGGACCAGTGGTCAGGGATGATGGGAGTTGTAGTCCAACAACATCTGGGGACCCAAGCTAAAGAAAGGCTGCTGTTGATCGTAAGACTAAAATGTGGTTAAGATGTGGAAGTCACTGTTTCACATTCATAGCTTGTACAGTAGAACCTCGACTTACCACCACCCCTACTCATGAACAATTCGACTCGTGACCGCAGCAAGCCTGGAAGTAAATACCGGGTTTGCCGCGATTCAAGCACGCGCAGAAGTGGCTTCTGCCATCTGCACATGCGCAGAACGGTGCTTCTACCAGCGACCAGGATCGACTCACGAACGGACCTCCGGAACGGATTCCGTACGTGAGTAGAGGTTCCACTGTTTATGATACAAGGTTCATTTTGGTCCCTTAGCCTCAGGTGACATTGATCCTTGGTAAGTTCTGATGAAGTGAAAACCTGAACCAGAGAGACATAAAAAAATCTGCACTAACGTGCTGATGTACTCTTCATACTGTCTTAGTATTTATTCTTTGTATAACATTTTGTTTTATTTTATTATTTATCACATAAATAAAGAGTGGTGGGGCTTTTTCTCTGCAATGTGCTTCCAAATAATCTCTACCTAAAAACAATGTAGAAAAAGAACCAGAAATGATGCATTTATGGATTAGCTGAAAACACAGGGTCTAAGCCATGAGTTGTATTGCTTTAACATCTGTCTGTTCCACAGTGAAGGTTTACCAGAATATATCTTGGAGTCGTTGGTGCAGTTTTTCATTGCTGGATAAATAATCCAGAAGAACTTTTAGTACGATAACGCTGTGAATGTTGACGGTGGCCTTGTCCAAGACCGGATCTTCAGGGCAAGGTTGCACATCTAGACACTCCTAAAAGGGAAAATAAGGTTTTTTCCAGCCTTGAGACACTGGAAAGAAGCCCCCATAAAAAGCAGGCCAATTAATATGGGGAGAGGGGGAGGAAATGTAACGTTTCTTTTAGCTTTTAGGCTAAAATATGGGTAGGCAAACTATGGCCCGGGGGCTGGATCCGGCCCAATCGCCTTCTAAATCTGGCCCGTGGACGGTCCGAGAATCAGCATGTTTTTACATGAGTAGAATGTTTCCTTTTATTTAAAATGCATCTCTGGGTTATTTGTGGGGCATAGGAACTTGTTCATTACTTTTTTTCAAAATATAGTCCGGCCCCCCACAAGGTCTGAGGGACAGTGGACTGGCGTCCTGCTGTAAAGGTTTGCTGACCCCTGGGCTAAAACAACAAAGTGTTGTGGGGCTAAGATCCTGCTGCCAGGTTTTACTCTGTTTTGGGGACTTTGCTGTGAGAAGTCTGGACTTTTAAAGCTGTCCCATTAGTTTGAATGGGGATTGCTTAACACTCGGTCTGAACTGAATGGGACTCAAGCAGGCATAAACTTTGGAAAGGTTTTACCCTTTGTTTTGTAGGAATTTGTAAAAACTTTTGCTTATAACAGCTTCATGAATAGAGCCAGTTATTGCCATTTTAAAATGGGGTGCAGTTCTAAGCCATCCAGTGATGAAAGACCCAAGTTACACCCCATACATTTAAAGCACATGATTTCCCCCCAAAGATTCCTGAGACGTGCAGTCTATCTAACACTGACCTACAATTCCCAGCACCCTTAACAAATTACCCAGGATTCCTTGGTGAGGGGAATAATGTGCTTTACATGTGTTTTCAATTTCTGGTGTGTATGCAGACTAGATCCCAATCTCAACAGTTGCACCCTTTTCATTTAATACTTAATTTAGTGGCTGGTAACACGTTCCTTTTGGTGGGGCAGAGCAGGTTTTGCAGCGCTTCACACATTGCATTTTCTATCGGTACTACATCGAGTGTTTCAAGATTGAGTCAAAGTGAAACACTTCTCAGTGTGTTGATTTGAAGAACAAAATGATTTGTTGTGGGCGGGCAAGTAGGGGGGAGAGGAAGATGGCCAATGCCACAAAAGCCCCACCCCACGGCAGCCATGTTTTCTGCGTGTGACAGCCATCTTATTCACAAAAACAGAGTGATGTCCATCTCTCTACATTCCCCTCAGTATCAGGGCACTTGAATTCTGGGTCACTGTGGGAAAATTCAAGACTGCGGTCAGATGTCATTCAACATTGGAACAACTGGGGAGAAGGGAGGATGCGTTGTTAAATATGAAAAAATTGGCCCAGGGCCTGCATCACTGATGGGGGCTATTGATAGGAGACGATCCCTGAATGTGACATTTTGCCACCGGCCCTCTTGATCTTGGTTCAATCCTGCTGAAAATTATAGCATTTGTCTGGAGCTGGGAAATGTAGAACTCCGCACGTTTTACATCTAGATCTATATACCTATATCTAAACACACAGAGAGATGCAACAAAATGTGGAATTTTGAGGCTCGTGAAACTCACGTAACTATAACATTCTGTATTGTAGTAAGCACTGGCTCTTAGATAGGGTTGCCATATTTCAAACAGTGAAAATCTGGGCGGCAATAAATAAATGCCATTTTTTTTAAACTATTTTAAAGGGAAATCAGCAAAAATGGCACTGCCAACATGGGTTGCCATTCATCCGGGTTTTCCTGGACATTTGAACAGACCGCAGCATTCCGGATATATGTCTGGGAAATTTAGGACATATGGCAAGCTTACATTTAAGCTGCCATTTTTATGCCCTTAGAAGTGGCACATTCCCCCTCTGCTAGTTTGAACATCCTATCTTCAAAAAACCCAATGCTGAATAATGGGGACATCTTACTGTCCACTTAGCCAGCAGCTTAAACAGAAAAAGTTGTCCAGTTATCAGTAGCACAAACAGAAAACGGCACATCTTGAGGCAACAGTGACTCCAAGTGGTCAGTGAAGGAACAGTTTTCATCTTGTTTTTCTTTTTTAACAAAGCGTCATAGCAAAATAAGTTATTCACATCATGCATATCCACCTTATTTTTTATTGTAAGTTGTTTTAATCAGCTTTTAACATTGTGTTTAAATGTTGTGACCTGCCCTGGGACCTTAGGGTGAAGGGCAGTTAATAAAGAATAATAATTTAGATTTAATTTATAATACCGTGTCCCAAAACCACAGTCCATACATGGGAAGTCCAGTATGAACTCCATAAGCATTTCAATTTGGGTGTCTTTGCATGCCAAAATGTGGAAGTAATTAAACACCAGGCAGGCCAGAATACAGCCCAGGCTGCACTTGGCTTGCTGACTCCAAGCTATTCAGACCAGTGGGGTGTGTGTGTTTAATTGTTAGCTTCAAATGAAACTTCAAATTACACTGTCTGCAGATATTTGAAGGAGCCCACACAATGATTAAGCTGAAACTGAGTGCCAAAAAATCCATTTTGCTTGACTGCAGTGGGGGAAACATGCCAAATGCAATAGAAGATGGATGCAGATGACTGGGATGATCTGTTTGAGAAACACTTGGAAAATTATTTTCATCTATGATCAAAAGCTTGAAACCTCTGTTCTGTCCACAGCTGCAATTCAGAGCATATATATATGAACATTGAGGTTCCAGTGATTGCTTTCCACCTAGTGGATGGTTCCTTCCCCGCTTTTGAACACATCAGCTTAAGCTACTGGTTCTCCAGAGCTTATTGATATCATCATCATCATCATTTGGATTCCTTACCCATCTCTTTCATCCTATGGTCACACAGCAGGTTGTGGTAGTAAAAGAATGTACAAATATGTTTCAAAAATTATGATTTTTAAAAAAATGGTAGGTTCAAATATACAGTCATACCTTGGATCCCAAATGCCTTGGTACTCAGATGTTTTGGCTCCCGAATGCCACAAACCTGGAAGTGAGTGTTCTGGTTTGCAAACATTCTTTGGAACCCGAACATCCAACGGGGCTTCTGGGGCTTCTGATTGGCTGCAGGAGCTTCCTGCAGCCAATCAGAAGCCGTGCTTTGGTTTCTGAACGTTTTGGAAGTTGAACGGACTACCGGAACGGATTCCGTCCAAGGTATGACTGTATAACAAAGCAGGAATGTGTTAACCTTCCCAGATAACTCAAATTATTGTCTAAAATAAGCCACAATAAAACACAAGTTTAAATGTAGAATAGAAAATGAAGAGAAATTGCCCGAAAATACAGAAAATGCTCTCTATGTGTGTTGCCCTTTCTTTCTTTTTTGGTTCAGCACACTCCAGTGAGCATATTGAATTGAGAATTATTGCTTTTAATTGTTTTTCAGATGGGAGTTCATGTTGTGGATTCTGCTGCTGCCGGCTTAGGGGGTTGCCCCTATGCGAAAGGTGCCACAGGCAATGTAGCCACAGAAGATGTGCTATATATGCTGAATGGCTTGGGAATCAATACGGTAAGCTGTTTTTCATGTACCTCTTAAACTTTTGCAGATTTCTTAAAACTATGGATTGGAAGTCTTGCTAGCTATGTTGATTTCAATACATACACAAGCAACTGGGCATATCGGTATGAATCATGCTGATGCATTTTGGGGAAATGTCAGACCATTTAGCTTGCTTTTGATCCTGTCGAAAGGATGACTTTGCAAGCATTTGTTACGAGAAAATAAGCTTGCTTGGAATCCTATTGCTGCTAGCAGAAGGCCTCCTGTCTGCATTGAGCAGCTGCTGTGGGATCCTATTCTCTGTCGGTAGTTAGATATGCTGCTTTCTAACAATGGTTGTCGGCTAGCATTCATAGAGTAGCTACTATGTACAGCCCTTTTTTTTCCTGGGTGTACACAGGGGTACACATATCCCTAAACATTTTGCAAATCTAAGTTTGGCCTCATTGAGGGGCACTGGGTATATACATGTGAACACACACTGGACTCTGGAGTACATGGATGAAAATGACAAAAATGTGAGCAGGTGAAGCTGCCTTATATAGAATCAGACCATTGGTTTATGTAGTTCTGTACTGTTGACTCCACCTTGCAATGGAAGGCTTCTTCAGTCATGAATCTACTATCTTCAGCCATGAATCAAATAATAGGGAGGAAGGTAGGAGGCCCTTGATTGGGGACAAGTCCTGCGATCCCATAGACTTTTAAGACAATAGTTATCCCTCCCAATAATTTATTTTAAGCACCACCTGCAACCATTCAATTACCTGGATGTGTTAGAGATAAAAATTTGATTTCCTCCCTATAAATAGTTTACCACTGAGTTGCTTCTCTTGTGCTTCTTATGCGCATGGAACAGCACTGGATGCTTCTTAGCTGACCAAGATGTGGATTCATTAAGGTTCTCTTTGGGCATCCTCCTGATTGCATTAGAACTTGCTTATCCATGCATTGCCCATGCAATGGATGGGAAAACATTTAAATGATTCAGACATGTGAGCATGGCCACTCACATGGGTCTTTCCCCTGGAACTGATTCCTCCGAAACACTAATGAATCACTTCCCACAAGGCATCTCAAAGCGGTTAGCAATACATATATAAAAGCACCGTGTATCTAAAAACAGTTAAAACAATTGCACATATTAAAACAAATTCAAGGCAAATGCAAAAAACCATCACAAATTAAACAAACCACCACAAAATGAACGAACGAAATCAGTTTCAAATCCTCCTCTACAGATACCGTATGGGGTATCAATCTCCACTTGCTGAGGCTTGCTGAAAAAGGAAAATCTTCAACAAGCTTCCAAATAACAATATGTAAATAAAGATATGACTTTGCATACAGCCAATATTTTCAGGATGGGGGTACACAGCCATGCTTGTCCCTTCAAAATAAAAGAACCCCCATTCAAAAAACCCAAAGCACCAGTTCCCCAAACAACTACTAGTACTAGATCTGAGAGTTCTGAGAATTTATCATTTTCATGTCCTGTAGCATTTCTCTCTTGACAGCAGGCAGCACTTACAAATCCTGAATGCTGCCTCATGTTTACCTTTGATCTGTTCTATCTCCTCGCTTCCTCTCACCACTATGTTCCTGTTCTTGCTTTGTTGACTGAAGTCGGTTTGAGAGGGACACAATGAACGAAATGCTTTTTGAATTCCTGCCAGCGTTTTCCAATGGGCTCTGCTCATTGGGGTGACGGCTAATGCCTGTTTTAGAAAGGCATTGAAAATGATTCGTCGAGGTGTCAGTTAGCTGAAGGAAAACTGAAATGTTGAGAACATCTGCAGGCAGAGTGTGTGGTGCTCCAAAGGTCAGCTTGGTCTCACAGATCTATAACATCTGGGGATATTTGTCAGGAGGCAAAAATATGATTTGAGGTGGCTTAAGTGCTTTCCCAACCCTGTCAAGTTTGTGTACCAAAATCAACAGGGTTCAGAAATAGGATTTGGTATTGTTACACTTCAAACTGAAGCACATGTTATCTATTTGAATGATTTATAAACCTCTCCTCATTTTTCACACAACCCCAGAACAAGAGACATTAAAATACAATAAAACAATATTTCATGTAAACACAGCTTTAATGTAGAAAACAGACAGTATTCTAGCAACATAACTACACCATCCAAGCAAGAGGCACTACTTGAATCAAATGCTTGAATGGGCAGCTGTGTTTTTACTGTTATCACGACTCCCATCAGTGTTTTGGTGCTGCTTGCACCTGAGAGGAGAGGGCATTCCAAAGTCAGGGTGATCCTACGGAGGTGTCAGGCGTCAGAGGATCCAACCCCCCAAGCAGGTAGCCAGGAACGGATAAGGAAAGTTCTTACCAATGCTATTTATTCAATATTCACAGAGAGAGGCTTAGAAATGCAGCCTCTTGGAGTAATGGCATTGCCCTGAGTGAGTCTCCACCTCCTCCCTCTCTCCCTTCATGTGTCATCACTACAGGTGCTGAGAAGTGCCCTCTGCCTCTGAGCTTTCTGCTCTCCTACTTTCAATGCCTGCCGGCTTCTGGGAGAGGGGGAGTTTGGAATGCTTTCTAAAGACACTGTGTCCGTCAGCCCCTCTGGTGCTTCTTCTTCCTCCTCTCCCATTATTTCCCAACTTTCCCCCTCATCTGTCTCTGATCTGTGACCTCCCTCAAATGCCTGTTGTAATTCTGAACTGTCTTCTTCTTCTCTGGAAGGGTCAGGCTGAGGAGGTGGTCTCCACCGTTCTTCCTCTGCCCAGTCCCTGACAGGAGGGTGCCTTCTCATGAGTTGCTACACAGCATATCTCAGAAAATTGTGACACTATGAGAAGACAATCCCTTCATGATTTCAAAGTTTCCCAGATTTTTAGAGTGTTTACCGCACACTTAAGCACAGTTACTTAGAAATGAGTTCATCAGTTTCAGTGATATTCATCTCCGAGTGTAAGTGTGCATAGAATACCAAATTAAATCCGAATTAAGTAGGTTGCATTTTGGATTCTCTGAAACAGCTCACCCATCTTAGTCTTAGGGTAGCGTTTGCTAACACCCCCATATGCATGTGTGTACACACACACACACACACACACACACACACACATAATTAGAATGAATTACTAGGCATAAAATCTCTGTCTGTTTGTCTCTTTTTTAGGGTGTGAATCTTTTCAAAGTTATGGAAGCCGGTCACTTCATCTGCACTGCCTTGAACAAGCAAACAAATTCTAAAGTTGCTCAAGCATCTTTCAGTAGCTGAGCTGTAAATTTAACTATTTGTCTGTCAATATGTGCTACCTTGTTTATAGCTGCATAAGGTAAACCTATAGCATATGACAAATCAAACCATTTGGGGGGGTGCAGAATAGTCAATATTGTATGTCCATGGCGGCAGAAAAATTAAGATCACAGTGTAAGTTCCTGGGTCTGGTCACCTGATGAAACCCTCTCCGTATTTTCTCTGGGCCCCTGGAAATTTCCCAGCTACAAGTGCAAGGCCTCTGTGAATTGGCCCCCATCATGCTCCTGAAGTGATGTTAACACTCTGCCCGTGGGGCCACCTCAAGGAAGTGTTTGAGAGGTCAGTAAAGACATGCACGTTGGTGGAGGAAAATCCAAATGCCTGTGTATTCATCTGAGCACACCTTGAGGTGAGTTTCTTGTAGAGAGGAACACAAAAACCAATGTCAGACATGCTCATCTTTAAGAAGCCACAGGTTTGTTTCCACAATTGTGTAGGTGGGTGGTTTCTGGTGTCATCCTGCTTTAAGACATGCACCCTGACCAAGAAAGGTAGAAAGCTTTGACTAAATAGCCTTCGTTTGAGAGACTCATAAGCTTCTTCTAAGACATGATAAATGGCAGCTCTGAGCACGTAAGGATCGTATTTCATAAGGAATATCCCCCATGCTTTAATGCCAGCTCCAGGTTTTGGGGGGCCCTTGGGTGAGACACTTAGTGGGGGGACACTCCTCTTCCACCAATATTGTCACCAACTGCTCCTTTTCCTCTTCCTCTTCCTCTTCCTTGGTGCCATCCGCTTGCTTGTCAGGCAGAGAGCCAATGAGGATTCAGGAAGTGGCAGCTGCTCCTCCCCTTTATCAGCACAGCTAGTTTTTGCTTGCTTGCTCCCTCTGGGCTGAGGGAAAGGGTGGGTAAATTAGCAGTTTCCAATGGCCAAAAGTGGGAGCAGGTTGAAACATCTCTTTTTGGTGAACCCTCTTCTGGGTTATGGTTGTTCGGCAGGGGCCCAGGCTGTGCTGAACCTTGATAGCAGCTGTGACCATGCCCAGTATGACGATTTTGATTATGTATGTATGTATGTCTGTATGTATGTATGTATGTATGTATTGTGATAGCGACACATGAAAGCACAGCCTGTCAGGAACAGAATAACCAGCAGTGGAACTGTGTGTGTGCTACATATTTTTAAAGCTGACTGCCAGGCCAGCAGTCATGTACTTTAAAACAATTTGGACACTCTTTGAAAATTGATGTTGACATTGTTGCCTGCCTTGGACGGGCAAAAGCAAGGGGGTTTGTTGAGTTGAAATTTATGTAGCTTGACGGGTTGCAAGTTGCACTATCTTCAACTGTTATTTCAATCCACGTTGGACGAAAACGGATTTCAGAGTTCTAAAGATAGCAAGTATATTCTTACATCTTAATCAAGCCAATTTTTTTTTAGTGTTGTATAAATATTTGCAGCCGTCAATGAGGTCCATCGTTGTGTGTGGTCTTGCTGTTGTACATTTTATTACTCCAGATTACCTCTTTTCATTTGCCAAGTCAATTACGCTGCGAGCAGGGAGCCAAACCCGGATTTGCTATGAGTAGCATTTTTGCAATGTTTTACTATAGTTGACATCTGTTAAGTATATGAATGACTTTATCTTGTTCCAAGAATTTTGTAGGGGATGGCAGCCTGCCATGTTTTGCAAATTTATGGCGCCCTCCTATAGTTGTTACATACACTAAATTCATTGCAATCTGTTTTTCTTTCTTGCTGTCCAATTTCCATCTTTTCGGTAGGAGAGTAAGGGGCTGGTATGCAAGCTTATTGAAATAATGGAAGTTGCACGGTAGCTGTGTTCGTTGGTTCACTCCATTGCACAATTCAGGCCAAACTAGATGTTATGTTAGTCACATAATTTGCAGTTGTGCAATGTTAATTTCAGCCACAACTTGGTTTGGGAATGTGGTGTAACTTTAACCCTTTGCACCCACTGCGGCCCCCCCATCAGCTGCTATTTGCCACCCGCCTTGAGCAAACGGAAATGTCCCCATAGTACTTTTTTTTGCTGGGGGGAAAATTTGCATTTATGCACATTGTAGGTGATATCCAACAAGGTCATATTCATAGAGTAGACCCATTAAAACCACAATGGACTTCAGTCCACTGATTTCAGTGGGTCTACTCTGCGACTAACAATGGCTGCTAATCTGTCATTTTTACCTAGCATAAATCCACTGTTGGGTCAAGAAAGTGCCTCTTAACTATCCTAACCATTCAAGACTTCCCCTTTTGTGGACTTTTGTAAGATGAATATTACAGTGGAGTGCATTTGAGTGCAATCAAAGAAACTGCACAATCATATATAAATCAGTGAAAGCCACTTGAAAGATAATAGAACGTAATACAGTCTAGTTTTAATCTTTTTGAACCCCCAAAACTCAGTACTTTTTACAGTGCAGACTTTTGTTCAGTAGAAGTGTTTTTCTTAGCCCTCTGGATGTCCTTTTTATTGAGCATTAATCATGATGTGTGCTTTGGGACAGGGACCAGGATAGGTGGTGCAGGGAGTATATCATACCCCTGCCTGGGGTCAAAAACGGGGCCTGGGAGGCAAAGGAGGCGAACCAGAAATTCCCTGAGACATCAGAAAATATTTGCATATATTGTGTTGAAGACTAGCACTTAACATTGTGTTAGCCTACATAAAACGCCACAGCACTCTACTTCCCTGCCCATTGCCTCTTCTGCCAACGTGCTCGTCCCAACTTCTCCCAGGCAATCTGGAGAGGTGGCACTGAAGTCTCAGCAAATGAGAGTGCGAGTGGGCAAGGCGGGAAGGCGGGCTTGTCTTGCCTCTCCTGCAGGTGATGTGCTCTCCCTACTTGAGGGGACTGCTATCTGCCAGTGAGGGGCAAAAAAAGTTTCAGAGCTGACAGCAACCCACCTTCAGGCAGAGGAGGGCGAAGTAGCTCATTGCCACCATTATCATCATGAACAGATGATATCTGGTAAAATTATCTTTTCCAAACAACTCTCCTAAGAATCAGTTAATATTTGCATTGATTCAAATTATATTTGTAAAGGTATAATAAAACAAAACCAAATGCCCCTAAGATATTTCATAGTGCTCTGCTTAATAGAAGATTGGATAATTGTTCATCTCTACGTATTTTAATTTGGTTCTTTTTCTGTCAAAAAGTGTTCTTCATTTGGAATTATTGGTTCACCTGAGAAACAGTGTCAGTCAGATATAATGAACAAGGAATTGTAAAGTCTATTTACAACTGAGCACCACTCGAATTATTTCAGCCAACGTACAACAAGCTGCTTCGCATTTGTGCACCCCAGGAGCACAAACAAAAGTTTTGATTTATTATACCATTCTTTGACTACTAAGTCATGTGAAAAGTTGTAGCATATCTCACTGAATGCATCTGTTATTTCCTTGCACCAGTATATAGACTTTTATCTTAGGAATCAAAAAGAACACAAGGAGAAAGCCTGATAATATTACAAAATAGTACAATCATTACCTACCGGTGACCCACCTGCACATAAAAGCGTTAATATCTGCTTGTCTTTCCATTTAGTGTTGACATTATTGGGCTGTAATAAGCCATACTGAGAGGGTACATTTAGCTCTGATTGCTTTTTTTCCAAAAAAATCACTTCTTCCATCAGCTTTTATGGGTAATGACTCACAACGGATGGAGCTGTTTTATGTAACCGGGGAGATCGATTTCTTCTCTCTGCTGTTTTGGCCAATTCAAAATATGTTCATCCAACCTGTTTTAGAAAAAGCTCCCAGCAGACCTGATTTCAGCACATGGTGCCTTTAGGCAGCTGCCAGGATCCATTTCTGTGCTGGTGATGCCAACCCTGACCCCTTGTACCGGGAGGGGAGGACTCCATTTTAACTTCCTGCAGCGCACTTGATGCAACATAACGACCCAGCCATTTTGGGAAGTTAAAATGGCCACCAGCACAAATTCAGAATGCTGCCTGCTACCAATACAAGGCAGGAGGGGATCCACTCTGTCCTGAGCCCCCTCAGTCCTGGAGCTGGGCCTGTTTCTCTTATCATTTGAGTCTCTTAAGCTCTAATATTTGTTTCCACCTCATGTCTTTGTCTCCCCTGCACACCAAGCTAAATAACTAGCTAGCATTATTATTTAAATAGGATTTCCAAGGCTGCAGGCCTATGCCCACTGACCTGTGTCATTTGAGAGGAAGGGCAGGCTATAAATTCAATAAAATAAATGAATGAATAATCCACCATCTTCTGAGGGAGCCTGCTCCACTATCGAATAGCTCTTCTTAGAAAGTTCTCCTTACTGTTTAATTGGAATCTCATTGTAATTTGAATCCATTGGTTCAGGTCCCAACTTCCAGAGCAGGAGAAAACAAGCTTGTTCCATCTTCCCTGTGACAGCCCTTCAGATATCTGAAGATATCCACCTCAGTCTTCTCTTCTCCAAGCAGCTTCCTCCTCCTTCTCCTCCTCCTCCTCTTCTTCTTCTTCTGTCATTTAGTCGTGTCTGACTCTTTGTGACCCCATGGACCAGAGCATGGCAGGCACTCCTGTTTTCCACTGCCTCCTGCAGTTTGGTCAAACTCATGTTTGTAGCTTCGAGAACACTGTCCAACCATCTCGTCCTCTGTCGTCCCTTTCTCCTTGTGCCCTCAATCTTTCCCAACATCAGGGTCTTTTCCAGGGAGTCTTCTCTTCTCATGAGGTGGCCAAAGTATTGGAGCCTCAGCTTCAGGATCTGTCCTTCCAGTGAGCACTCAGGCCTGATTTCGTTCAGAATGGATAGGTTTGATCTCCATGGGACTCTCAAGAGTCTTCTCCAGCACCATAATTCAAAGCATCAATTCTTCTGCGATCAGCCTTCTTTCTTTCTTTCTTTCTTTCTTTCTTTCTTTCTTTCTTTCTTTCTTTCTTTCTGCTAAACATACCCAATTGGTCACCCTCCTCTGCACACACAAAAAAAGTGTGACAAGTTAATGGGAAGATGGGTAAACGCTACCCAAACCAATCAGAACAAATGCCCAGCAAAGACTACACATAGCCTAGCCTTTGCATAAGCAAATCAGGATGAATGCTCAATAAACAGGTTATCTGGAGGAGCCCTTATACCGCAGCACCACAATCCAACATGCGCAATATATGGAGATTGCAGACTTCTGTGCAGCTCTTCCCTGCTGGATAGGGAAAAGTCACTCAGATGTCTGCTGTCATATGGTTCATACTGTGTTATTTGTGGCCTATGTTATGAAAGAGACAGACAAAGCTGCAGAGGTCCTGGTCCTTCAAACTCTTGCAGAATTTTAGCACTCAAGGCGATGCTCTTCCTTCTGCAAGAACCTGCCCTTTCATTTCAATGGACGGGCAACTATGTGCAAACAAAGAGATTCACACTCAGAGCCGGTCACTTTCAACGTAAGTGAATGGGGAAACCACTCATGTAGGAACTCCCAAGTATGCATCAAGTGTGAACATGGCCCTAGATCAGGTCAAAGGACTACTCTTCTAGAACAACTGACTACTTGCTTCAGAGCAGTGTCTCAGTTTTGCTGCCATTTCCATGAATCAGCTAAACAACTGTGACAAAGTAGATAGCCATGTACAATCTGAAGATCTCAACAGGCGAACTCAGTGTACATTGACTACACATTTTCCAGAAAATTCATGTTGCACCTTTGACTATTTATTTAGCCTATAAGAACTTCAGGGTAGAATATAGAGTTGCCTACGTAACTGGTTCCTAATGTGAATTTACACTGGTTTACAGCAATAGTGCATTCTTACTCAAGCTATGTTCTGTGTATATCTAGAGGAAAAAGAAAAAGCAGTCTCGCCACAGAATCAATAGAAATGTGGCATGTGTTCTGAATAATGTTGATGCTGTATTTTCCATTTAAATGGCTTCTTGACTTTATTTTTCCGCTGTGGATACTGACAGTGCAATTAAGTGTTGGGAAAACTGTCAATTGGAATCAACAGCATTGTAGCTTCCTGGCTGGTGCCAGCTTCAATAAATGAATAAAGATTGATTAGCATTTCTGTGTCAAACTTGCTTGCTGATTTAAGCGGAATGGGAAAATCGAGGTTACCTTTATCATTGAGTTGGAAATGATCTCAGAGTCCACCTAGTCCAAGCCTGTCCAGGTACATTCCTGATAGCTGGATATCCAGCCTCTGCTTTAAAAACCGCAATGAAACAGAGTCCACCACCTTCCTAGGAAACATGTTCTGTGTTGCAGTGGGAAACCTGTACTCAAATTATTGGCAGGAGTGCTTTCCCCCCTCCCTCGCAGCAAAACAGAAAAAGCCTCAGACAGATTTTTACTGTGGAATAATGCACGCATTCTGTCAGCACATGCACTTTGGGCTGCCTGACAGAACTTCCCCTCCCCCTCCTATTCCTGTGCGTGCCTCCTAAATATGTTCTGGGTTTTCATACAACCCTCCAGAGCTGATTTGGGGGCGTGCATGGGGTGCTTGTGGGATGAGAAGAGGGAAGAAAGGTTTCATTCCACAAATGTAAATCCTTGGACTAATGGAACAAGTCCATGGGATGCTGCACTTTGGTTTTAAAATGTGATCTACTCAGCACATTTTGGTCATTTTCTTCTGATGACATCTTCCCTAGCTGTCACACACACACACACACACACACACACGAGAGAGAGAGAGAGAGAGCGCTTAATGCCAAAATAGTATTCTAAGTGGGTTTGTAGTTTTAAGTTGTCACCAGCATTAGATATACTAAGTCTCTTTTGTCCCCCACCCTGTAGGGAAAATTTCACAATGGATAATCTTGCCTCTCTGCTCTTTTGACTCTTGGGTGCTGCCTTTCTTCTTAGTGTCTGCTTTCTCCTTACTTGATTGTGCCAATGGAGCTACACAGCTAGAAGAGATTCAACACTTCTTTGTCTAGTCTTTGTTTCCACAGCTAGAAAGGATCCACCACTCCCATAGCAGCGCTTGTGAGATGAATTCATACATCATTATAACATCACTTTTGTTTATTTTTAATAGCAATAAAAAAACCTACACCAGTGAAAACTCAATAACGCTACAAGAAGTGTATTTTGCTGCTTCAACTATTTCCCAAAGTAAACCTGTATCTCAGATTAAGGATCCTTTCCCCTTTTAGTAGAATAGATACAAAGCACAGTCAGGAGGTGTTTGGCCAAACCAATGATCAAGCAGACAGTACACAGCGGGAGAGGTGGTGGAAGGAGGGAATTAGGAGGGAAATTCCATAGCTCAGAGATAGCACATATCCTGTATCCGAAAAGCATCCTGGTGCAGATTTTCTAAAAGAGATTCTGCACACCAGTGTTAAAGCATAATACTTGAAAGGGTCCTAATGCTTAGAAAGGTTTTCTGGTTGGAAAGGCCTCATTACAATCCCAGCAGGAGACAGAGCAGATTTGTAGTGCTTTCACAAAATAGCATATCAAACGAAGAACTGCAAAGAGTCAGTAAAATTAGCCCAGCCATATGAAGACCACAGTGGTACCACTCCTTCCCATGCCACTAGTATGATGTGAGAAGGTGAGGGCCACCCAAAAGGACCCTCATGCCATGGTTTATTTGCATGCCAGCTTAAAACCTTAGGAAATTGCATTACCAGGGGGAAGTTGCTGCTGCGCCTCTCAAATTTCCTTGAGGTGCAGGAAAGAGCAGGATTGCAGCAGCCCCTGTGCCAGAAGTGTAACACAAGTCCTGGGATTTAGGTTTTAGCATTTGCATTCCTGCTACAATGTGATATACATGCAGGGCTAATGCTCATTTGGGCAGGGCCTCAAATGTAGATATTTATATGGTTTTGGCGTTTGGTAAGTTTCACAACTTGTTTTCTGTGCATTGGACTAAAATGTGACCCACTCTCTCAGCTTAGATCTGCAAATATGAGCAAATAAGAGATGCAATCTGGCAAAATACTTTTTTGTGTATTAATGGACAATAGACTTTGTCACGGTAAAGAGTTAAAAACCTTCATAGGTATTAATAAACTAGGGCCTGGAACTGGGGTTTGTGAAAGGAATGAAAGGGCACTTTCAATATGCCTTGGCCATCTCAAAAGCAATAGAAGTACACCCTAATGTTGTACCCTGCCCATGAGAATTTCACTGACATTTTCTCTTCCCTGTGATAATTTTCAAATGCAATTTCTTTCCTCACTGACTGCTCGAGAATGGTTGAAAAAATGGAGAGGAAATTTTCAACACAGCGGTATGGCAAATGCTGGGCTGGAAACATGTCATGGCCAAACGTATCATCGTGTAGTATATCATATGTCTCAATCTTAAATTCAACACAGCAACACAGTACTGAGGCAAATAAAGCAATTACAACTCCAGTGGTGTCCTCTCTTGTAGTAAGTTGCCCAGTGTTTGCTGAAGTGGAACAGCAGTATTACAGGCCATGTATTCTCTGAAGAGAAATTTCATGGCATATGAGCACCAGGTTGGCTAATGAGAAGAGCCTGAAATAGCATTATCGACGCAGTCGGTGATCCACGGTCGTCGAGGCATCATGAGCTTCTCAGATAAATGGGCTGGGGAAACAGTCTTGGCCTGATACACAGTTGTGCAAGCTCTGAAAACAAACACATGTGCGTTGCATTAACATCATTCTCTATACCCATGAAACACGAGCGACACAATCTACTTGACCGAAATCAATAGCCATTATCACTTGCTGTGTAAATGTTGGGTATGACCCAGTCACAGTTAAGCACTTTGAGCTCCCTTTGATTCCCAGTAGAAAGTTAAACATGCAGCCTGTCATTGAAATAAATCCACTGAACATTAACTGGATGGTGCGCCTTCTGTTTCAGGGCAGCTGGAGTCTTTTAGGTCAGTGTTTCCCAACCTTTTTTGGGCAAAGGCACACTTGTTTGATGAAAAAAATCTCGAGGCACACCACCATTACAGCCCCGTGACGTCAGCGCGCAGCGTCGCGCCGGGAGGGACGCACGAAAGTGTAAGTTTCAATTTTTCCCCCTCCCCTCCTGTGTAAAGGGGAATGCACTCTGCTAAGTAAAGGCACTTGCCACAGCAGCGTCAACGTCACAGCACCCACCGGCACCCAAGAGAGAAGGGGTCTCAGCAGCCCTTTTGCCAGGAAGAGGAGCAAGAACGAGAGGAGGAGGAGGAAGAGGAAGAGAGCCCCCCCCAAAAAACATTCTCCTTTTGATCTTCCTTATTTGCAATTCCTCATTGCAAAACAGCGGTTGATATAGAGCTGATTTTTTTGTTATTACAGTCCCCACCCCCTCACCTAGAAAAACACCCCCTGTCAATTTTATTATTATCATTATTATTATTATTATTCCCCGCCACTCTGGGAGGCTGAAGCCCTTTAAGGCTTCCTTCTGTCCACTCTCTGTGAATTACCTGCCCGGAGCGGGTTTCTGGGGGGGGGGCGCTGCTGCCGGTGTCCTCCCCGTCGAGTCTCGCCTTGCCCGGCGCGTGGCGGCCGCCCTTTCCCACACTCTGCCGGCTGCGCTGCCAAGCCCCGCGGCTCGGCCTGTCAGCGTTACCGGGCTCGGCGGGCGGTAATTCCCAAAGAAAGCCGGCGGCGCTTGAAGAGCTGGCAAGCCCCCATTTGCATGTCTGTTTTCCGCAGCCCTTGGAGAGGATTAAGTTCCCTCCTTCCTGCCGGGGAACCTCCAAGCTTTGGGGGTGGGGGGGGGAGGAGGCAGCAAAGCGAGGCAGGAAGGAGAGCGCGGCTTGGCTGGGTGAGCTTTGGCAGGGGCAGGGAATGAGAGCCGCGAGGCGGGCGCTGCGGGCGGAAGCGCTGCCCGCCGAGCTCGCAGGCAGCCAGGCAGGCAGACGGCGAGAGCCCCGCGCTGGGCGGCCTCTCCTCGCCGCCGCCGCCCCGCCTCTCGCCGCCCGACTCGCCCGCCTCCCTCCCACGGAGGTAGGCTGGTGTGCCGTGGGAGGGAGGCGGGAGAGTCGGGCGGCGAGCACACGCGGGGCGGCGAGCGAGCTCCCTCCCACATCCCATCGCCGCTCGCTTCGGCTGGCCTACTGGGCTGTCGCAGGCGGAAGGCCTGCGCATGCGCGAGGTTTTCGCGCCTTCCTCCAGTAGGCCGGCCGAAGCGAGCAGCGATGGAATGTGGGAGGGAGCTCGCTCGCCGCCCAGCGTGTGCTCGCCGCCGCCGCCCCGCCTCTCGCCGCCCGACTCGCCCGCCTCCCTCCCACGGAACACAAGGCAACGTTCCGCGGCACACTAGTGTGCCGCAGAACACCGGTTGGGAAACACTGTTTTAGGTCATAAATTGTAAGTGTTCCTCCTTAACTGCTGTTTTATTTTATTTTTTAGAGTATGGAGAATGGTTGTTTTTGCTGAGGGCCACTTTTTCTGTCAGTAAACATGCTTATGGTGGGTGGGGCCAAAGCCATAAATGGGTGGAACTTGAAGGATTGCATAAATATTATTTATGTCACCCAATTTTCTCTCTTGCATGGGTGTAGCTGGGGTGGGGGGCAGCTGCCCCCAATCAAGTAAATAAATAGAAATAATCAGAATATTTGAACTAGAAATGCTTGCTGAGGTCACTTGGATGATGTTGTGCCATATTCTGGCGATGCAATTGGCAACCCAACTGAGTGATAGGCATGGCTTCCACAAACTGACCAATCGCATTGCAGGTAGCTTGGTTCTGCAACAGGATAGGTGGGTGTCCAGCCCCCACCCCCAACATAAATCCTGGCTATACCCATGTTCTTTTGCATTCCACATGGGATGGGGGGCTGTTTTATGGTTCTGAACTTTATCTTACAGTATAAAATAACACTTTTCCCTAAATTTAAGATTACAGTTTAACTCAGCACATACTGCCTTATCTGATACATTCAGTACACAATTAATTTCATTTCTCATTCAGTTCATGTGCATTCCTCATGTGTCTTTTCTGTTTTACTGGCAATCGTGAAGCTCTCCATTTGTCTTAGAACCAAACAGGAAAAGGGTTCCGCAGGATTCAGAAGCCACACACTATGGAAACAGGACGTTCTCACACATTTCCTGTGAAGCCCTGCATTCCCCACACAAACATTGCAATTACCTGGTCTTTAACAAAGTCAGCAGGATTATCGCCAGCACCAAGATTATGCAAGAGGTGTATATCATTATAATGATTGTGTCCGCTAAAAATTAAATTATGGAAACAGAATTAAAACATTGATCAAAGAGTATTTTATGCAGTCACTATAGTACAAATTAAAACCAAATATTCAATGTCATCAGCTTAATATCTCCTAGGGTCTTGATCACCATATTTCATTTTTTTTTCCGGCTTCTAACAACTATCCCTGAAGGAGGTTTCTATGTTAAGTTTGCTTCTAGGATTCTTAATAATAATATTTAAAAGTTTGGTTTGATTCCTTTCCTTGACCCTTTGATTGGTGCTTTTTTTGTTTTGTTTTGTGGGAGCCTATGCCTCTCATAACATTGTGGCTCTCCAATGACCTTGATGGGAGCTTTTTCATTCTTTTTAAAAAAGCCAAACTTACTGTACAATGAAGACCGTTCTCCAGTTACAGGAAGTATTTTTCCAGGTAGAACCATACGTGATGAGTAAAGGTCAGCTTTTCCACCTGATATCTGAGCTGTAAATAGAAGAGGATATAAAAAGAGAGCAATTGTGTGAAAGCCAGCAGGGCCTGCAACAAAACGCTGGATTGTGAAGTGCTTCTGTCCAGAATTCCTCCCTGTCATCTGGGCCCTTTTTCAGGATACTTCATTCCACCTCCTCTCAGATTTCTGTCCCTTTGCCCACTGCCGCAACAGCCAGCCAGTAACCTGTGCCAACTGAGCATCCATTCCCCATTGGGTAATTAAAAAACCACAAACTCTTGTAGAGTCCCCCCCCCCCCGCCTTAAATGTTTTGTGTACTTCTGCAACTCCTGGGAATCCTCTAAACCTGCTGATGCCTTGCTTTTGTGTGTGCCTGGTGCCAATTTTGCTAGAATTCCCATTTTATCATAAGGTCATTAAAAAACAGGAATCTTTTTTCCCCTGTTAGCAGATGAAGCAAACTTTAAGCTGCAAATGGTTAACTGGTTGACTCATTCATTCGTTCCCACATAATGGGACCTCCTGGCAAAGGTACAAGGCAAATTGTAAGGCCTGGGCAGGTTGATTAAGAGAGAGGTGCTCCTTTGGGTTAGTTCAACTTACTGAAGCAGGATTTGCTGTGGAGGATATGATGGAACCACTTGCATGCAGTCTGCTTAGCCAGTGGCGTTGTGTCACAGGTACACTCAACTCCTCGAAGGACAGACCCCCACATTCCGACATAAGCAGCTCGGCACTCATCACTGTCAGAACACATCAGATCATTTGCATCCAAAGATTCGAAACAAGCTGTATCTTCAAGGCATTGTCGGGCAAAGGGTTTTAAACACTTAGATGTAAATGCTTCATACTTGGCCCTGTGGAAAGAGAAATGTGTATGCATTTTATTCTTCCTGGTATTCCCTTTCATCTGGGACATGGGTGGCGCTGAGGTCTAAACCACAGAGCCTAGGGCTTGCTGGTCAGAAGGTCAGAAGGTCAGCAGTTTGAATCCCCACGACTGGGTGAACTCCAGTTGCTCGGTCCCTGCTCCTGCCAACCTAGCAGTTCGAAAGCATGTTGAAGTGCAAGTAGATAAATAGGTATTGCTCCAGCGGGAAGGTAAATGGCGTTTCCGTGCGCTGCTATGGTTCGCCAGAGGCAGCTTAGTCATGCTGGCCACATGACCCAGAAGCTGTATGCCGGCTCCCTCGCCCAATAAAGCGAGATGAGTTCCACAGCCCCAGAGTCGTTCGCGACAGGACCTAATGGTCAGGGGTCCCTTTATCTTTACTTTTATTCCCTTTCATGTATAATTCAGGGGAGCTGAAGGATAGATTAGCAAACAACAAAATGAAAGAAAAATGAAGAATTTCTTGTAAGTGACCAAACAAGGGACATATAGCTTGGACATGTTCATACCCTAAAACCTCATACCCTCAATGGGGAGCAATGTTTTGGAAGTTGAAGCTGGGGAGGTGGGTTTAACTTTTCTCTGCCCCCATGTGCTATGATCCTCAAAATCGAAGATAAACAAGAGACATTGCTGGGTGAATGACACATAATAAGCTGTAACTCTGCTCTCAATGCAAGCCTAGAACCTTTAGACCTTGAATGGTCCTGTCTGCTACTGGTGGCCCAGTCCTGTCATCTCCTATGGCTTTAATTGCCTGCAGTGTTTTCAGTGTTAATCTGTATGCACCTCTATGTTAAATTATGCATACTGATTATTTTTACATCTGTGTAGATGTGCTCATGTGCTTTAGCATTAAAGTTATGTCATTGGAGAGGCAACAGAAACAGCTGGAGAGGTATCAGCAGCAGGGAAGAGTGTATCAGCGTTCTGAAGCTCTTGCTAAGATACCAAATCCTTTACTCCTCTGAGCATCTCCAGGACCAGGATGAAAATGCTACTGAAAAGCACCAAGTCCCATGACCAGCCTTGTGGGTAACACAGTCTTAAAGTGCATTATCTGCCGGTTTGACCACCTTGCAGTGATTGGATTATAGGGTGCACATTCAAGAACAGTTAAAATGTACATTTCCTGCAAAAGATCTATATGAATTTCCTGAATGACAGAGATGGTTAGGAGGAAGGCTTAAATCACAGAAAAACCCTCTTACAGCTTTTGCTTGTGGTGTAGGTTGGAAAGCAAACATTATTTGCTGCATTGTGAATGAGCAAATAAATAAGAGATCATCTTGGGTCCCTTGTGCATTTTTATATTAAAACACACATGTGCCAGCAGTCAACCAAAAATGTGTATTTCCACTTACCGGCAGATCTCATTTCTTTGGCATGTGTCAATTACACTGAGGCATGAAGGAGCTGGGACCATATTGACTCCACACACTGTGCCATGAAGGAATCCCTTGGCTTGGTGGCAGTTTTCATCTGACGGCATGCAATCACAAAAGGTCAACACCAGGGCTACGTTCAAAGGCATGTTTTCATAGAAGGACCGCAGAGCCGCTTGGCACCGTGTCCAATTGCACTGTGTTGCATTAGCTTGGCAGGCTTGAAGGTAGCGAGATAGTTGTCTGTTACAGACTCCGTCATTGACACAGTCCACTTTGACTTGGAAGCAGGAGCGCAGGTGTTTGTATTCTGAGGAAACAGCAAAGTGATCACAAGATGATAGAGATAGGCGTATGAGGAGTGATTTTGCAAGCACAACAGTTCTCAAACTCTCCCTTGAATTTGATACATGGCGGTCACTATACTATAGGCAACCCACTTGTATTTGCATTTTCTGAAGAAAAAAAATTCATTCTGTCATACATTGGGGTGGCGAACTTCAGGCCTGGGGGCTTAATGTGGCCCTCCAGACCTCTCAGTTTAGCCCTTGTAACTTTCCCTAGGCCATCACTGTTTCCAGCTCTTGCAATGAGCTTGCAGTGGCTCATTCTGCACGGGGTCAGGAAGCTGCATTACTCATAATTTATGTGGGCCACAAAGTTGAAATCGATACAGGGTATAGAGACGTTTAAAAAGTAGGCTACTGTTTACCATAGTTTGAAAGAGACGATGACTTCCACTGTGATTTTATTTTCAGGTGATCTACAACGAAGGAGATACATATTATACAGATTACATGTTGTAAATTAATTGTAGATTTGAAATGGAAGCAGCAGTTTGCAATGAAACACAATGCTAAGAAAAAAATGACGATCAGGTTATTTGACGGCCTTTAGCAGAGGCATTCCTAGTTTAGAGCAAAGGTGGGGCTCATTTGGTGCTCTAGATGTTGTTTGACTCCAGCTTCCATCAACCCCAATAGCCAAAGACAACGTTGGAGTGTGGAACACAGAGTAACATCAACCTTACCTTTAAACCAGGCTTGGTGTCAGTAATCAGTATATTCAGACAGCTGATAGGACCCATGGATGGGGAGGGGTCCTCCATAAACTGCAGACACCAGACTGTTACCTGCTGGTTTCTGCTGGTGGCAGCAAAGATGATCTCACTACCATCTTTGTTCATCTTGTTTGCATGGTCAGATGAGGCCTTTTATATTTCATTTTTAAAGGCTAAACACTTCTGAGCATTGCCATTGGGATGGATGGGAACTGTAGCTTGCCATAGCTCCTGATTCAGTGAACAGGGCAGGAGAATAGATGCAAACCATATGAATTTAAAGCATTGTCTGACATTGACTCACATGCACTGATTGCATAATGCAACAGCTGCAAGTGTTGGGACAAGTGTTGTTCATGTCAATTGCTGACTCCTGCACCTGCTGTTTCCTCTTAGCATTTACACATCAGCTTCAATTTTATCTGAATTGCCTAGAAGAAATCCAAACATAGGAGTAACAACATAACTGCGTAAATGATGTTTGAGTTACAGCGAGCTGCAGAAACGTGCAATTAAAAACAGAGGGAAGGCAAATAACTCTCTGTCTTTGGGCTTAGGTACACAGTCCAGATTCAATGGTTATTTGAGGAGGTATCTAGCTGAGGCAACAACCATTATCTATAAAAAGAATGGATTAACGCAAGAACATGAGAAAAGCCCTTCTGCATCGGGCCAAAGACCAATCTGTTCCTGCAATCTGTACTATCCATGCCCAACCAGTTGCCTATGACATACCCTCGAAGTGTGCCAATTTTCCAGGGACAGTCCCAGAGTTACAGCAGCCATCTTGGTTTCTGATTTGACCCCAGAATGTCCAGGTTTTCCCTTTCCCTTCCCTCCATGTCTTGGAGAGCAATTATAAGTGCTGGAGAGATCAGACTACCCCTTTGTCCTTTTTGGAAACAGGAACCTTTGGTGTGTGTTTGTGTGTCTGTAGGTGCAAAAACAAAGTCCTGTTTATACCAAAAATAAAATATTTGCACCAAATGAAGGAAGCTGGCATACAAAGCCCTTCCTATAATTTTGAAGGAAAATGTAACCAACCCACTTGGTTACATCCTCCAACACTGGAGGTGGAACATAGACTTCACAGCTCATAGCTCCTGATCTTCCATGGATGTATCTACTCCTGTCCAAGTTAGTGGCCATCTCTACATCTCTTGTAGGATTCTAGGGTGTTTCCTGCCACATTGTGGCTGACTATGTTTGATCCTGCATGGAAGACCTTGAGAACAATGCAGCAGAAGTTAGTTGTGATGCCACACCTTGACACATATTTGCACAGAAGCAAGTCACGTCGATTTCAACAGTCCAGTCTTATGCAAGACTTATCCATACCTGTAAGCAATGCACACAGAGGTCGCTGGGACTCCGTATAAGCATGATAACTTTGGGCTTGAATTTGTGAGCAGTGGTGTCAACAGGGAGAACCCCAACCCAACCCACCACCAGTTTTTCTGCATTTTTTAAAAAATTAAAATGTAAAAAGTGGTGCTTTGTGCCATCAAACCTATTCATTTCAAGGTTGCTAGGAACAGTATCTTTGAACTGGTGTTATTGAAGAGATCACTCTTCATCATTTACCTGCATCAAAGCCTGCATAGGTTTCCTCCTGAATGGCAGAAGCTTGGTATTCCTGGGTGTATTGTACGCATGTGTTGTTAAATATATGCTTCCATATTTTAGTGCATCTTTTATGCAGTGGTTCTGGGCATATGCAGCTCCCCAGGACTGTTCTCCTTAACTCCTTCCATGCTGTGAGGCATTGCTGTACCACCACACGGAGGCTACAGTTTGCTACTTTGGTTCTGCACATTCTCTGGAATTTCTTGTACTGCAGGAAACAGGTGTCATCTCCTCGGCATATTTCCATTGCAACCGCGCAGTCGGTTCCTAACATGCCTTGGTGCACCGTCTCCTGCAATTTTGTCTGTGGCAGGAATCCTAACTGGACATCTGTGCTTGCGTAAAGCTTCGATTTCCCTGTGCAAAAGAGAATTTGTGAGCAAAATCAGTTGGATAGATCATGCTCGTGGCTGCATCTTTCAAATGCAATCAGGCTGATTGTAAAAACTGATAAGCAAAGGAGCAGCTACATGAATTATGCTTTGTAAATACCTCCCCCCCCCATGATTATTTGGGATGGTACCAGGGCCATCCCAAGATATTTTGCTGCCTGAAGCAAAGGATATTTACAAAAAAGCCAACTAAACTGGAAACTGAATCTGACTTTTGACACTGTCCTCCGCACTGTCCCTGAAGATAGCAGGCTAGCTATGGGAGTGCAGGACTGTTCATGTGAAACACACGGCTCTGACCTTACTGTACTTTTAAGCATATGTTGCCTGAGGTGAATACCTCATTCTGCCTATTTGTGAGGCTGATCCAGGATAGAACCTTCCCTACAGAAGCACCCAAGGGTGGAATTATGCCTCAAGGAGTGCTCTTAGATCTCTCTTTTTCTTCCGCCAAACATTAATTGAAGACTAGTTTTTTCCTCTCTGCTTTTTATGTTAATCAAGGTGGTAGTTGGAGTCCATACCCTTGTCATTTTGCAGGGTTCATTGCTGGCCTTAAATGGTTGATGAATTGGCTTGGATCCTAAGGGAAGTTCATGGAAGGAAGTCCCCCTCCCCTCCTCTCCCCTCTTGCAACTTCCTGTGCCCCCCTGAGAAACCTGAAAAGCTGTGGGGGGGGGGGTTCTTGGGGAGAAGGGAATAATCCACTGGTTTTGTCTGGATTTGAATGGTACTTTATTTGTCTTGAATTTTGGACTCTGATGACAACTATAATTGCTTAGGAAAGTCACAGTCTCCCAATTAGAGGTCAAAGATCCATATAATATTTGAATCTGATAGTTTGTCAAAGCTAAACCTTTAAGCCACAATGAACGTAAGAGCATAACAAGAGTTCTGCTGCATCAGACCAAAGATCTTTCTAGCCCAGCATCCTTCTTCCCCCAGTGGTAACCCAGATGCCCATGTCCATCATGCAAGCAAGACATGACCTCTCCCTCAATCATTCCCCAGCAAATGGCTGAGAGCCTCTGATCCTCGAAGTACCATACGGCTCCCATTTCTAGCAGCTGCTAATAGCCTTATCAGGGCCATGATTACACTGCATTATTTTGTTCTAGAGAAGAAAATAATCTGTTACCTTTATTCCCAAAACATTGCTTGCCAAGCAACGCTGTAGTGCTGCAGTTATCGTTAGTGCAGGTGCAGTCTTTAAATTCTGGGAACTGGTCAACTAAGAACTTGACTGTTTTATTACAGTTGGTCGAATCTTTTACTGTGTAGTTGTTGCCTGGATTTCAAACACAAGAATGAGTCTTAATACTTTCATTAATGTTATTATATTTATTTATTAATATCCCACCTTTTCAACTAACTTTTACTCGGAGTAGACCCATTGAAGCGAATGGACCTGATTAGTCATGGGCATTCACTTCAATGGGTCTAGCGGGAGTAAACATCGTGACCCAATATAAACTACGGTATGAAGTAGTTTGTATGAAAGGAATCCCGTAGCACCTTAAAGGCTTGAAATTCGAGTGGCTCAAAAGCTTTCATGGACTAGGTACCATTTCACTGGATGAAGTCATCTCTAGTCTATAAAACACTAGACCACCACAAAATAAGAACACTCCAACAGAACATGTGCCTGTGAGTACGTACGTGTAGATGCCCCCATTTTCTTTTTTCAAAGTTTAAATCCTATTGATCCAACCCCACACTCCACTTCTGGGCTAGCATATTCCTTGGGTGTAGCTTTTAAGAAAGGGCTCTCTGCAGGTTCAGTCCTGTCTGCTGAACTGGAAAGTGGAACGATGTATATGTGCTTCTTCTGTGGCTGATCAAACACACTCTCCATTAAGTATTTTCTCAACAGTTTCCAATCATCAGTAAATGTGCCTGTGTGTATCTAAAAGGGATTACTTTTTTTAAAAAAAAAGTTGCTGCACTATTACCTGAAGTGTGGAACATTCTGGTTGCTGATTTTTATTTTACTCTCACGTTTTTCAAGACCATTTTACTATGTGACTACTGATGGCAAACATATGAAGTGGTGGTTTTCTCACTCTTTGTCATGGACACCATCCTGATAGATGCTGTTTCATACTGCATCACTTGCTTTGTGGCCTGTTGGCTGCATTTGGAAAGGATGTAAAATGTACTTGCTCATCAAAATAAGAAAGGGACATTTTAGTTTTTGCTTTTTTTTTTTTAAGAATCAGAGACTTGTTGAAAATATAATTGCCAACCCACCCCACCCCTATCTTTTCACTTTTTGTGTTAACATCTGGCCTCCAGGAGAAAGATCAGCAGCTACTGAGAATTCAATTATCAAAGTCACAAGACTTTCATGTAATCTGTGCATGTTTAGGACATGTGCTAAATTGGTGTACATTTCTTTTACAAGTTTCATGAGGCTGATTCAGTCTGTTGCTTCAGCTGTTCAATTAAAATGCCAGAATTTCATTTATGTAGGAGTTGGATTTTTTTTAAAAAAATAGTTTCCTGTTATTGTTGAGTAGAGTAACTCTTAGCAACATAGATTCACTCAAATAAAAAGTATGAGATTTCCCCTTTGTATATATTATACTGTAGATACTACTACTTTGGGGATTTAGTATAGATTCTATTAACTTTAAACTGGCTGTATATCTTAACCTAATACCTAAGTCTGACACACTATAGGTTATATCTGTCAGTAAGTGTAAGGAAATTGTTCAGAAGAAAATCAAGAGCTATATTCTGGGGTGGGGATGGGGAAAGATGGAGTCTCAAATGTATTACTGAACTTAAGGAGCAACCCACAGGATCAGAGCCACGGATCCTCATCTTAAAAACACTTAGATTTCCCCCCATTTTTTTGACAAAGTAATTATGTATGATCACACTCTGCTACAAAGCTTTTAATTCCAAACCACTGCAAACAAACGGCCCCTCCAGATAGTCTATTTGGTGAACATTCATTATTCCTTGTGCTCATTGTGTTATCAGGGCAATTGTATGCATTACTTGGAAACCATTTGTGCCAGCAAATGTGTTGCAGGCTCAGTTTGATTTGTAATAGGTGCATGCCTCGTAGTTTCCTGCTGAAATTCTGTATTCCTTTTGCCTCCTTTTATAAATTTCCCAACAATAGGCATCTCCACACTCACCCACGTGGCTGTGTCTATACATGTGGCACCAGGAAATCAATCAATCAATCAATCAATCAATCAATCAATCAATCAATCAATGTAAACTGCAAAAGGGGGCAATAAGGGCTTGAAAATAATGGGAAAACTGTAAAAATGGCATGAAAAAAGCTGGAAAACCACTAGCAATCCCAGGAGCCTTTGCACCGACCTTTGGGACCTATGGAAATTTGGAGATTGAGAACAAAGGTTTGGAGGGAGCGATTGTAGTGGAGTTTGGTGGATTTTGAAACGAAGCAGAGTGTTTTTAAAGGTTTTTTTAAGGGTTTCCAGAGGTTTAGAGGGAATTTACAGGTTTTTTAGATGGTGTTCCCCACTATGTGTGATTTCATGTATACACATGATACCCAGGAACATAACCCCTGCTTAACTGGGGAGACGCCTATATTCACAAAATGTATAGGGAATGCTTTAACAACTTTTTTTTCATGGAAACACATCCCTGGGGCTATCTGCACACCTTTGTCCATCTCTCTCCACCCCTGAACATTTTTTTGTATGATCAGAATTAGCCCATATTCAACGGCGTTTTCTCCTTAATAACTGTATTTAAGATTCCAGTTCCTGTTTTCATTGAGTATGTAGTCAGTTGCAAAGATGTAGAGTTTAGCAACCTGCCCAGCAATCCACTGTGTAAGGAGGAGCTCCGGCAGGCACATGCACCTCTCAGTCTATAAGATCTTTCATATTAATTTCAATGAATGCGGAATTAGACATGGAAGGGTGTGTTTCTATGGAATGCATCCGTCTATGGTGATGATGCCCACCTCCATAGGGGTACAGGAAATGAGTTCTCCTACCACATGTCTGGGAAATGAAGAATTCCCTTTTAAAATTCAGTTCAGCGTTCGTTTTAATGGAAGCTGATTAGACAAGGAATGCCGCTTCTCTGAAATCATAGAGAATCTATGGCTTCTCTGTAGTTACCTGAAATGCAACAAACTTCTTCCAGCAAAGCCCAGACACTTTCACATCCATTTCCTGCAGCTTCACATCTCTCTCTCAGCTCTTGGCATTTGGAGGTCTGGAAAGCAGTTACATGCATGGAATGTAGTACCAGCACTGCAAAACAGATAATATAACCTTGGTGATAAGCAGTGGATCCTTTGCATTTCTACCCAATGTTTTATTGTAGAGAGCATGGAAAGGTAAAGGAGATACACAAGGTCACCCATGCTGAATTTCAGATACCCATGTTTAGATCCATCAGGGAACAAGGAACTCAGTCTTTTTTCTAAGCAGACTATGCTCTCTTCTCTTTCACCTTTGGCAAGTGTTTCTCCATACTGTGCTTCACTCCAATCACCACTGCACTTGCTTCAGTCTGAGCTTCACTATTTCAAAGGGAGGTTCTAGAGCAAACTTTTAATCTCATGACTTTAAAAAGGCGCGTGCGTGCATAATTAGTTTTGTTTTTTAATTTATTTTTTAAAAACATATTTTACAGGGATTTTCAATACAGGAAAAAATGACATATTATAGTAACAGACTATCAAGAATTAAGAAAAAAATTAAATCTGTCAATATACGATAAGCCACATATACAGAATATATATATGTCAGGGCTGCCTCAGGTCCCAGCTCACAAGAGACCAACGCCAAGTCCAGCTTATATATAAAAATGTTTATTGAAGTTCATTGTACACTCCACAGCCGAGGCGCGCAGCCCCACGTCTGTTACGCTTAGACCGTTGAAGTCCCCTCTGAGTCAGTCCCTCCTCTGCACCAATTTAAGAGGGCTGTGCTGCTCCACCTCTTCCTTTCTTTCCTTTTCCGCAGGGTCTTTCTGCCCCCTGGGGTTTCGCCCCTCCTTGATTCCCCTGACGCTGAATCCCCAGACAGCTCTTGCCCCCTCCTGCGTGCTTTGGCACCTGGCTCCTCCTCCGAGCTCCCTGTGCTTCCGCGCGCCTCCACATTTGAACTTGGCGCGCGTTCACAACCTCTAACCTTCCTCTTGACAGTTACACTGCTCCCTGTACTACTCCCCTCCCCTTCCGGGAGGTTGTCTTGCTCCGACCTTCCCCCCTTCTCTGCTGTCGGAGCTGCTTCTCCTGTCACACTGGAATCTCCACCCCCTTCACTGCGCTCTGGCGGGGAAGCCGGTCCTGACTCCCAGCTCCCACTTTGGGATCCCCTGCTGGCCCCCTGCTCCTGACGAGTCCCCCCTGTGACTCCCCTTGGCCTGACCACAGGCGCCCCCTTCTGGGAATCCTCCGATTCACTCGAAAGACTCATGGAATCCCTCGAGTCATTGTCATCCTCTTCCTCACTGCCCTGGGATCCTTCCCCATCGCTCTCCGTCTCCTCCCTCACCTGTGCCTCTGTCCCTGAAGCCTGACATCCATCCCCCCTCGAAGCCCCCCCTTCCCCCCTCCCGCTGCTCGGGCACAGGTTCTGGGAGCTCCGTCGTTGCGGGGGTCGATGCTGGGCTCAAGTCGTCGACGTCGATCTCCTCTGCTTCTAGTTCAGTGTATGTGTGTTCGAACCCGGGCTCCTCCCCCAACACGTCCACGTCCTCCTTTCCCCCCGTTACTTCGAGCAGTGCTGTCTGCCACGGCCCCCTCAGCCACCTTCTGCGCCAGTCCTCTTCTGGTTGATCGTCCCACCAGTAAGAGCGGTCTGTGTCCACCCCCGAGCATGATCCCCTTGGAGGGCTCGATTCTGGTGACGTCTCCTCTGCGGAAGAGAACCCCCTGAACGTGCTGGCTGAAAGTGTGGGCGTAAAAAGCCAGTCGTCGAAATACTCGGCTGGCATGGGCCTGTGTGGGAAAAGCGCATGAAACTCGTCTTTGAGCAGAGGTTCCTCCAAAGCATAGTCCGGCACCCAACTGTTGGTGCTGGCCGGGGTACCTTCTCTGGCGAGAAGATATTCTACTCCCTCTTCCCCCCATCTCGAGTCCAGAATTTCTGTGACCTCGTTGAGTGGCGTGGCCCTCGGTGACTCCCCCCCCAGGTGACTCTCTGCGTGGGTCTGGTGCCGTCCCTGGCTCCTGAAATCTGTGTGGGGCCTTGTAGGGCGTGAGCACCGACCTATGAAAGACCGGGTGCATTCTGGAACCTTCTGGGAGGGTCAACCTAAAAGCTACGGGATTGATCCTGGCCTCAACTTGGTACGGCCCTAGCTGTCTGTGTCCTAGCTTCTTCTTAGCTAACGACTTGGCTGGCACCGCCTGGGCTGCTAACCATACCCAGTCTCCCACCTGGATGTCTTCTCCTTCCCTCCTGTGCCTGTCCGCCTGCACCTTGTAGGCGTGTTTGGCTAGCTCCAAGTGCCTTCGGAGCTCCTCGTGGACCTCCTGCAGTTCTGCTGCTAAATGCTCAGCTCCCTGCAGCTCCCCCTCCCCCGTTGTCACCAACCCCGGGAAGGTTCTGGGATGTCGCCCATTGTTGGCGAAGAACGGTGTCACCCCCGTTGACGCGTGCTTTGTGTTGTTGTAGGCAAACTCGGCCATCGGCAAGTAGTCCACCCAAGCTGCAGGTCGTTGATTGGCGTAACATCGCAGGTACTGCTGCATGATGGCGTTGACCCTCTCCGCTTGGCCGTTGGTCTGTGGATGTCTTGCCGACGCTAAGTTGATCTTGACGTTCAGGATACCTAGGAGCTTCTGCCAGAAACTGGAAATGAACTGGCGACCCCGGTCGGACAGGATGGACCGTGGCAAGCCGTGCACCCTGAATACGTGGTCTATGAACAGTTTGGCGGTCTGTTCCGCTGTCGCCACCTTCGCGCAAGGAATGAAGTGCGCCATCTTGGTGAACAAGTCTACAACCACAAGTACCGCCGTCTTGCCTTGGGAGCTGGGCAGATCAGTAACAAAGTCCAGCGCTACCCGCTCCCACGGCTGTAGTGGCGTCTCCAGCGGTTCCAGTAGTCCCGCTGGCTTCTTGTGCACTGGCTTGGACCTCTGACAGGTGTCACACCTGGCGACGTAATCCGCGACCTCTCCTCGCATTTGGGGCCACCAAAAGTCTCTGGCTACCAAGTCCGCTGTCTTCTCCTTGCCGAAATGACCCGCGCTGGGTGCGTCGTGCAACTGCTGCAGAACCTTTGTGCGGAGATCGTCCCCCGGCACGTAGAGGGCACCTTTGCGAGTTAGCAGACCGTCGCGTATCTGGAACTCGTCGTCCCGTGCTGTACCTCTGCGTAGCTCTTCCATCTTGGATTGTGCAAACTGATCCGTTTGCAGCGCGCGACGCACCGCGTCCAGGTCCACGACGGCTGAAGCGCACGTCCACGCCTGCGGTGCAAAAATGTGCTTGGCTGCCACTGCTGCCGCTTCCTCGAGATATTGCGGTTTCCTGGAGAGCGCATCTGCTATGACATTGGAGTCTCCCGGGATGTACTCTATTCGGAAGTCGAAATCCGCGAAGAATTCCACCCAGCGCATGTGCCTCTGGCTCTGGAGCTTCACCGTGCGCCAATACTCTAGGTTCTTGTGGTCCGTGTGGACCTGCACGGTGTGCTTGGCTCCTATGAGGAAGTGCTGCCACGCTTTGAAAGCTGCGTGAATGGCCAACAACTCCCTGTCCCAGATGGTGTAGTTCTGTTCCGACTTGCTGAGCTTCCGGGAATAGAAAGCACAGGGCCTCCAGTTTCCTTGCAGATCTTCCTGCAAAAGAACGGCCCCAACCGCTCTGTCGGACGCGTCAGTCTCGACCCGCATGGGCCTGCCGGGATTCACGTGTAGCAGCTGTTCTTCTGACGCGAAGAGGCTCTTAAGTCGCCTGAAAGACTGCTCCGCCTGGTCCGTCCAGATGAACTTCTTCTTCTTGGAACTGAGGGTGTCTGTGATGGCCGCCGTCTCTTTCGCGAAACCCCTGATGAACTTGCGGTAAAAGTTGGCGAAGCCGACGAACCTCTGGACCTCCTTCCGATTTCGCGGGCTCTTCCAGTCCAACACCGCGCGGACCTTGACACTGTCCATGGCTAGTCCCTTGTCGGATAGCCTGTAGCCCAGGAAATCCACCTCCTTCACGTTGAACTGGCACTTCTCCAGTTTGGCGTAGAGCCTGTGTTCCCGTAGTCTCTGCAGGACCTCCTTTACGTCCCTCTCGTGAGCTTCCTGCGATTCCGAGAAGATCAGGATGTCATCGAGGAAGCATACGCACTTCTTGTAGAGGAGTCCCGCTAGCACGTGGTGCATAAATGCTTGGAAACAGTGGGAGCCATTCTGGAGACCAAAAGGCATAACTCTGTATTCATAGGTGCCCAACGGCGTGAACATGGCCGTCTTCCACTCATCGCCCTCACGCATGCGTATGAGATTGTATGCTCCGCGTAGATCCAACTTGGTGAAGATCTTCCCTTTCCTCACCGTCGCGAGCAGGTCGTCAATCTTGGGCATGGGAAAAGCCTTGGGCTTTGTCATCGAGTTTATGGCCCGATAGTCCACAATGAGTCTCTTTTGGGGCGTGTCCTTTTTCTTCACGAAAAACACAGGACTGCCCCCCACTGCTTTGGATTCCCGGATGAATCCCCGCTTCAAATTGTGCTCTATGAACTCCCTGAGTTCTTGCATCTCATCCTCAGACATGGAATAGAGCTTGGCAGTCGGCAGCGTCGCCCCTGGTAAAAGGTCAATCGCACAGTCGTAGGGCCGGTGGGGTGGCAACTGGTCAGCTTCTTTTTCGCAGAAGACCTCCAAAAACCCCTTGTACTTGTGGGGGACTGCCTGCACCATGCCGAGGTGTAGCTGCCGCTCTTCCTCCTGGCCCTCCTCCTCCTGGCCTGTCTGGATGCAATGTTGTGCGCAGTAAGATGAGCCAAAGGTGAGCTGCCGCTGGTACCATGCTAATGTTGGGCTGTGTCTATCCAGCCAGCTCATGCCTAACACTATAGGCGTGTCCGACAGGCGGGTGACATTGAAGCTGATGACCTCGCGATGATTCCCAATCTGCATCACCATGGGCGGCGTCTGTTGTACAACTTGCCCGCCCAGCAACTTCCTGCCATCGACCGTGACGACGTTCAGGGGCAGTGTGGCTGGTAGAAGCGCTATGCGATGCTGCTTGATGAACTGCACCCCCACGAAGTCCGCGTTGCTACCGGAGTCGATTGTAATAGGGACTTCCAGGGTGGTTCCATTGGGCAGCTGGAGCGTTGCAGTGAGCTGCACCACTGGCTTGGGTGGTAAGGGGTCTGTATGCTGCAAAATCGCTGGGGATTGCTTTACTGATCCGCCTGGCTGAACCCCAGCATTTCTGCTTCCAGCCAGGCACTGCCATTTCCCTGAAGCTGCTCTCCGTGAAGCACCTCTTCTGTTACTGTTGCTAATGCTAATGCTGCAGTGTGCTTCTGGAGCCTCTGGGGACACTCTTTGGCCATGTGCTGCACACTGTCACAGATGTAACACTTCCTGCTCCCTCTAGGAGGCTTCGCCTTGACTGCACCGGACGCTGGGGCTCCGGCCGCTGTCTGAGCCTTAGCACCACCAAGCTCCATCGGTTCCTCCTCCTGCCTCAGCAGAGGCGAGGGATGCGCACGGCCCAGATCCCTGGGAATAAAGGGAGGCGCTTTAGCTGGTGCGCGCACCTGGCGACCCTCTTCACTGTGCCAAGGACGTTCTTCGTGGCGCACTCCAATCGTGAGTGCCCTCTGCACGACGTCTGCTAGGGTCTGAGGTCTGTCTCCCCTGGCCAATTCATCCTTTATGGAACCATGGAGCCCTTCCCAGAACAAATCTCTCACTGCTTTGGAGTCCTTTTCCCAACCCAGTACGTTCAGCAATGCAAAAAAGCGAGAGCGGTACTGACGCACTGTTGCTCTGCCCTGCCTCAATCCATGCATCTCCCGACGCGCCACATCAACGTCCACGGTGGATTGGAAGCAAGCGTCCATAGCTTTGATAAATTTGTCAGAATCTCTGCGTGCCGGACCATCTTCGCGCCACAAATTGCGCAGCCAGGCTCTAGCTTCCCCATGCAAGTGGGACACAATAAAACCCACTCTCTCCTCCTCATCTTTAAAGTCTTTCTGAAGCAAATGCAGCGCATATACGACGTCTGCTCTGAAACTGGGATAGTGCTTCAGGTTCCCATCGAAGGGGGCTACTAAATTTCCTCCCCGCCTTCCGAGTCCGATTCCCTCTGATCTGGACCCCGGGAACCCCTCTTTGCACGCACGTTCCCACCTGGCTTGCAGATCGTGGCATCGCGCCTCCGCTTCTTCACTCTTCTTCTGGGAGACCACTACCGCAGTGGAAAGCTCGGAGACTGCGTTTCGGAGGGCTGCTAACTGTTCCTCCGCAGTCATGGCTGCTAAACTTCGTGAGCTTTGCAAAAAAAAATTTGCGTTCTTTTGGAGAGGGGACTTACTGTCAGGGCTGCCTCAGGTCCCAGCTCACAAGAGACCAACGCTAAGTCCAGCTTATATATAAAAATGTTTATTGAAGTTCATTGTACACTCCACAGCCGAGGCGCGCAGCCCCACGTCTGTTACGCTTAGACCGTTGAAGTCCCCTCTGAGTCAGTCCCTCCTCTGCACCAATTTAAGAGGGCTGTGCTGCTCCACCTCTTCCTTTCTTTCCTTTTCCGCAGGGTCTTTCTGCCCCCTGGGGTTTCGCCCCTCCTTGATTCCCCTGACGCTGAATCCCCAGACAGCTCTTGCCCCCTCCTGTGTGCTTTGGCACCTGGATCCTCCTCCGAGCTCCCTGTGCTTCCGCGCGCCTCCACATTTGAACTTGGCGCACGTTCGCAAACTCTAACCTTCCTCTTGACAGCTACACTGCTCCCTGTACTACTCCCCTCCCCTTCCGGGAGGTTGTCTTGCTCTGACCTTCCCCCCTTCTCTGCTGTCGGAGCTGCTTCTCCTGTCACACTGGAATCTCCACCCCCTTCACTGCGCTCTGGCGGGGAAGCCGGTCCTGACTCCCAGCTCCCACTTTGGGATCCCCTGCTGGCCCCCTGCTCCTGACGAGTCCCCCCTGTGACTCCCCTTGGCCTGACCACAGGCGCCCCCTTCTGGGAATCCTCCGATTCACTCGAAAGACTCATGGAATCCCTCGAGTCATTGTCATCCTCTTCCTCACTGCCTGGGATCCTTCCCCATCGCTCTCCGTCTCCTCCCTCACCTGTGCCTCTGTCCCTGAACCCCTGACAATATATATATGCATGTGTTGTTATGTTGTATACATCCCGGCTAACTTGCACAGAGCACAGGTTCTAAAATGAGCTTTGCTAGGGTTCAAACCAGCTTGCAATTCATGTCCCTAGTAAGCCTAGCTATGTGGAAGGTTCTGCTGTTAATATGTCCATTAAGATCTTGGTGCCTGGGGAGATGAAGCAGATATAATCCATTGCACAGACAGCACTCTTAAAAGTCCCACTGCAAACAATGGGACTTTGAGTGCTGAGGTGCAGGTCTACTAGCTATTACATCAGGTAACAGCAGCAGGAAGCCAGCAGTTCCATCTGACTTCTCCACTCTCTCAGCTGTCATTGTGCAATTGCAGTTTTATCAGGAATCAACAAAGACAGCTGTGTGAAATGGATCTCTTCCTCTTCCTCAGACGCTTAGAGTTAATAAGTAAAAATAATGGGATTGAAAAATGTGGGTTTTATGGGAACATCTTATTCTTGTTCTGCAGCTTCTTATAGGCCTGCTACTCTGTTCCTCCTCTCACCTACCTACCTCAAGTCAAAGGGAAAAGTCAACAGTAGTAACAATAGCTTTTCTTGTGGCCTGACATGCACTTAGACATTCCACTCAGCAAACAAGCATGTGTTTGTTTAAACAAAACCTCCCTTTTTCAGATCTACTTGATAAGTTACCTTTCATAGTACCTTTAGGGTGATCTGTCACTGTACTGCTTACAGACTGGAACGGGTCATCACTCAAGCCTAAATACATTGGCTAGGTGTCACTCTTGGCAATCAATGAAATAAAATTAAATATGTACCACCATAGAGATAGCATTTTAGTGTGAAGCTGGCACCTGCTCTTCAACAGCTTGCTCTTCATGCCAGGAGTGCATGAAGAATGTTCCAATCACACATTGCCTCTGGGAACAAGAAAGCCACGTGACTCATGAAGCATCAACTGTCATGAGCATTTAAAGGATTAACCATGTTCCACAGAGCACTAGTAACCTTGGGCACAAAAGAAGGAGCAACACACTGCTAAAGAGACGGGACAGAATGGGCTGAGTCAGACAAACAGTTTTGCCTCCCAGTACACAATACATTCCCACTGGTAATAGAAATCTGAATGAAGTTTTGCTCTGCAATATGGTCATAGAGACCGGTCAGCCATGTGACAGCCATGTGGTACTTCAGTCATCTCACTTCGATTACATTTTCTTAGTAACTGCAAATGTCAATTTAATTGGGGATAAAGTCTGGCTAGCTGACTCAAAGATACATCGGGCAATAGATATTGGTCATAATATAGATGTGGAAGCATGGGAACGATGTGGAATATGGATATAAAATTTACAGCATGCTATGGTCTAAGAGGGGACATGGGTGGCGCTGTGGGTAAAACCACAGAGCCTAGGGCTTGCCGATCAGAAGGTCGGCGGTTCGAATCCCCGCGACGGGGTGAGCTCCTGTTGCTCGGTCCCTGCTCCTGCCCACCTAGCAGTTCGAAAGCACGTCAAAGTGCAAGTAGATAATTAGGTACTGCTCCAGCAGGAAGGTAAACGGCGTTTCCGTGCGCTGCTCTGGTTCGCCAGAAGTGGCTTAGTCATGCTGGCCACATGACCCGGAAGCTGTACACTGGCTCCCTCGGCCAATAAAGCAAGATGAACGCCGCAACCCCAGAGTCGGTCATGACTGGACCTAATGGTCAGGGGTCTCTTTACTTTACTTTATGGTCTAAGAGAAAATTATATGAAAATGATATATCGATGGTACCTAACACCGAGTTAATTGACAAAAGAGGAAGAAGGTTCTTTTTATCATATGTGGTGGTCTTGTAGTAAGGTTAAAGCTTACTGGGAAATGATATATAATGAATTGAAAAAGATGTTTAAAATAACATTTGTAAAAAGACCAGAAGCCTTCCTTTTGGGAATTATAGCGACAGAACTACCCAAACTGTATAGAAATTTATTCATGTATGTGACTACAGTGACAAGAATGTTACTTTTCCAAAAATGGAAAGAAGAAAAAGTCCCAGCAAAAGAAGAATGGATACAAAAACTTATGGAATATGCAGAAATGGCGAAACTTACCAGAAAACAGACTTTTTATAAAATAATGGAAATGGTTTATTGAATATTTACAAATAAACTGTAAACAGATAGGCACATTGGCAGGATTGTTGTAATAACCTGCAGTTTTATAAGAGTATATATTTATAGTAGATGAATAAATGAGCAAATTAAGTTAATTTGGATATGCAGAAAATATTTTTTAAAATTTAAGGAACCACAGAAAGAGGGGGAAGGAAGTCAAGTTTTGAAATGTTGAAATTATTGTAAAATTATTGAAATGTATAAAATTGAAAATAATAATAATAATAATAATAATAATAATAATAATAATAATAGGCTATCTGAATCTACTGAACAAAATTGCTCATGCTAAGAACAGTGGGCTGTGGTGGGATAGGAAACTGCCCTCCTCACTACAGACCTTTATTTGATCATATTCATTTCTTCAATTTTATATATTAAATTTCTATTCCCTTCGTCTGAGGACCACAGAGCTCTAAATTAGCACATTGCTTATATATTTTTTAAAGAAAATAGTTCCCCTTTACAGTCACAAAGACTAAAAGCAAAGTTTCTAAAAGCAAACAAAGCAGCTGCCATTTCAACAAGTTTATTATGTTTGAATAGGAGAGGAGCAGAGAAGGAGGAAAATAAAGTTTAACTTATAGCAAATGTGTGAGTACAAAGTCTATCCTTTATATTGCATACAAAGGAGGGAACAGTCCAGTAAGTGGTAGGGACCATATGCACTGTCCAACGCTGTGCCCTCCAACAGGCAGCTGAGACTGCAGTCCTATAGGCACACTTAATTCAGAACAAGCCCCAGTGAACACAGTGCGACTTACTTCAGAGTAAGCGTGTATACGATTGGGTTCCACGAGGAAGAACTCTGCAGAACTTACCCAGCAACAGAATGGAGTTCATCGCGCAAGGCAGTCCTGAGCTATTGATGCGGAGCACAGTAAGCTGCAGGTTATCGCCTGATGCTCTCTGAAATCTCAAAACCTCCGAGTCGTTTCAGCACCACGCCGCGCTGGACAGCTCTCTCCCGGCTGCGTGCGATTGGTCCACCTTGGCGCTGAAAGAGTGAGCGCCCGTTCTGGTGGGACTCCCCTCCCTTCTCTCGCTTGCTTTAAGTATCCCAGAGAGATAGGAAAGCCAACCCTCCATTTCACACCTGTTGCAGATTTCCGGAGTATAGTAAAAGCTGCCCTGACAGTCGCTTACTATATACCTTGCTGCCTGCGAGTCCAGATGAATTATAGTCTTCTGAGCAAATGCCTGGTGAGGCAATAGTTCAGTCGTGATACCAAGTTAATGATGATAAGAATTTCCTTCTGAAGATGCCATTATTAGAGGGGTTGGGCTTCCCACTCCTTCAAAGCTAAAGGGAAAATCTAATCTTGCAGGTGGAAACCTGCCGGCGGGTGGTTGCTGTTTTCCAAAGTACCTTCTAAGGACCTTTAAAACCTGGAAGTTGCTGCAGGATCTGCTTCTCTGGGGTCCCAGGAAACACTGGTGACATGAGAAGATGAGTTCATGCTCTAGCTGTGTGGGGCATACCAAAATAGGAGGGCACAACTCAATAAAGATGGGCTCACAGTGACACAAACATTTCTGAAGCTGAGTAGCAGGAGCTGTGAGACAGAGGGAGGTATAATGCATTAGATAAGGAGAAGTGGATGGGGGTCAGACCATTGGACTATCTAGTTCAGAAATGTTGATACTGGCTAGCTGTGGCTCTCCAGGGTTTTAGTGGCTCTCCAAGCCCTACCTGCAGATGTTGGAAATTGATCCTGGGACCTACTGCATGCAAAGCAGATGTTCTGACCCTATGGCCCTACAGCTGTGGCTTTGGAAACGAAGAAAAGACCAAGAGAGAGAATGGCACAAAACTTGGAGCAAAGGATTGGATTCCTTGAGTGCAGCCATCTGGGCACATTGTTCATCTCAATAAGTTGGGAGGCATCAGATGACTTCCTCGTGAAGTCAGATGTCCTATAGAATATGCCTTGCATATGGTCAGTGGCAGGTCTGGAAATGGGAAAGCAAAGTGAGGCTGAGACAAAACTTCTCTATGGAAGCTAACCTGTTCAAGCAATGAATTTCAAGCCTGGCTCCTGGGCTTAAGACATTGGTCAGCCTAGAGATGGGTGGCAGTTGTATACAGGGCTCCATTTTGAGTCCCTTTGCTGTCAAGTTTTTCCAGAATACACCATTCCCCAGTTTTCCATTCCTCTCTCTGTGTGTGTCCCATCAGCACTGTTTGGCACTGAGCATGCTTAGCCCTTGTTGAACTCTTTTGAGGTATGTTCCCCCACCCTTTTTAGGATTCTCCCTCCTTTTTAAAAAAATTCTGCCATTTTCCCCAAGCCTGCAGATGGGGTGGACTTTAGTCTTTCAGATTTCAGTGGTGTCCTGTGCAAGGTCAAAATTCGGCACCCACACGATCTCTCACCTCCCTTTTTGCTCAATTCACTACATCATAGTTGGTACACCCTGCAGCGCCCCCTAGACTTGATGCCCAGCATGTCAGAACCAATCGTGCTTTCCTAAATCCACCTCTGCTGCAGATATCTTCCTTGATATGGCTGGTGCCCTTTTGAAGAAGAAGAAGAAGTTTGGATTTGATATCCCACTTTATCACTACCTGAAGGAGTCTCAAAGCAGCTAACATTCTCCTTTCCCTTCCTGCCGCACAACAAACACTCTGTGAGGTGAGTGGGGCTGAGAGACTTCAGAGAAGTGTGACTAGCCCAAGGTCACCCAGCAGCTGCATGTGGAGGAGCGGAGATGCAGACCCAGTTCCCCAGATTATGAATCTACCGCTCTTAACCACTACACCACACTGGAATCACATTCAACAAATGATGTCACTATTAGTATCAATTAGCATGGCCATATTAATATAGGGTTCAGTTATGCTATTTTATGAACAACTTGGTAGAGGCAAAATTGGTCCTAATGTCATTTCCATCATGATGCTTCCCCCTTGCTTACTGCCAACTTTGACTGAAACACAAGATGCACCCACTCTTTATTGAGAAAGGAAATACGTCAGAAGCTCTGACCAGTTAAGGTATATAAAAAAATTAATGTGTTCCCAAACAATCTTATCTTGCAGTTCAAAAGCAAAGGCTGTTAAAATCACGCAAGCTTCCAAACAAGGCTGTGGTTTCTTTTAGAAAATAAGAGGTGTTCATTGACTATCGTTCCTTTCCAGTCCGCAGTACTCTGCTTACTGGTTGAGACAACTGGATGCACAGATTTCCACTTACAAAAGTATTAAACCGCAGAGAAACTGGGATGCTCCCAGCTGTGAACAGGTCCATTGCCATTTGTTGGGAGTGTGCTTATATGGGTCAATGCAACGTGCTCTGATAACTTGGTAGCATGGTCAAAATGGGTGATCTGGGTGGTCAAGGATTTCCGACTTTCTGTGCTTGCCCGTCCTCGAAGCCGGTCCTCGTTGTGGTGGCTAATGCCAAAGCAGCAGCAGCAGGAAAAAGCTGCTTTGAATTCTTCTCGGAATTTTCCTGCAAATCAAACAGCGCCAGAAGCATGAGATAGTATACTATGAACTGGAATCCCCCCCCCACCAACAATTCATGTGTGAAAATGAATCCTAACTTCATTGATTTTTTAAAAAATGCCACTGATACAATTTGGGTAAACTAGGGTTACCAGACATCCCTGGTTTCTGGGGACAGTCCTGGGATTTGCAAATCTATCCCCGGACAAATTCTGTCCCCGGAATGTCCCCAGATTTGCAAATCTGTCCCAAAGGAAATGTGGCAGTGGCAGCCACAGTAGCCCGGAGTTAGCCTGGTAGCGCAGTTGGCTCTGGCTGGCTTCAGGCGCTGCCCGCTGCCGTGGCGCCCGCCATTTTTCCTCTCTGGAACTCCCCATGTGATGTGTCTTGTGTGCAACGCATCATATGGGGACTTCTAGAGAGGAAAAATGGCGGGCGTCACGACCATGAGCAGCTCCTGAAGCCAGCCAGAGCCAACTGCCCTACCAGGCTGGCTCCGGGCTGCTGACTGCTGCTGCTGCTGCCACTGCCAAAGGGGAACCGGGGACGTCCGGTGGTACAGATCTCCTTCCCCCTTTGTTTTGACTGATCGGGGGAGGCTCGGGAGCTGGGGGTGGGGGGTGTTGCCCAATTTTTTAAAAACTCTGCGCATTTATGTTTCACAGGGTGGGAAAGAAGGGCTTTGCACCTTTATGCAATATGCATGTGTGCTTGGGCCCAGGATCTTTTGCCTCACCATCCCCACTACTGGCTCCCTGTTGCTAAGGTACCCCTGCCCATACGGGCCAGTCTTGACAGACTCTAGGGTTGTGCGCCCATCTCACTCTATAGGCCGGGGGCCAGCACTGTCCGCAGACACTTCCGGGTCACGTGGCCAGCGTGACAAGCTGCATCTGGTGAGCCAGCGCAGCACACGGAACGCCGTTTACCTTCCCGCTAGTAAGCGGTCCCTATTTATCTACTTGCACCTGGGGGTGCTTTCGAACTGCTAGGTTGGCAGGCGCTGGGACCGAGCAACGGGAGCGCACCCCGCCGCGGGGATTCAAACCGCCGACCTTTCGATCGGCAAGTCCTAGGTGCTGAGGCTTTAAGCCACAGCGCCACCAGCGTCCCTGTTGCTACTCAGCTTCAAAAAAAGAAAAAGAAAAAAAAGAAAAAAAGGGGGGGTCCCTGGATTCATTGGAAAAAAATCTGGTAACCATAGGGTAAACCCCAAAGAGATAATGACATAGCTTCATTAAAAACCTGTTCATTGCAAAATCATAGTATTATTCCCCCTCTTGGTTAAATGGGTGGATTCATGGCACATGTAGCGAAGAGAATATAGAGTTGGAAGGGACTACAAGGACCGTCTAGTCTAACCCCCTGGCAGTGCAGGTACCTTTCGCCCAATGTGGGGCTCAAACCCACAACACTGAGATTAAGAGTCTCATGTTCTACCAGTAAACCCAGTAGAGACAGGGAGTTCATCTGCCTTGTCCTGATGTCGGCAGCAAGGGGAGTGTGCAAGCATAACCCCCTCAGGCAGCCACCAGCAGATAGTCTGATAGGAAATTACGCATCAGCCTGAAACTCAAAGCAGGGAAGCCAATTGGAGGCACAAAATATTCCCACCCCCCAACAAGAAGATAAGGGAAGCCCAAAGGCTCATTTATTTACTGTTTTTTTTTAATTTAAGACATTTCTATACTGCGTAATTGTTCACATTTCTAAGTGGTGAACACAAAGCAATGGGGCAATAAAACTTTTTCCTTCTTTTAATCGTTAGACGGAACACTGTCTTAAAATGCTGGAACAAAAAGGGCTTGGCCACATGCCTGGAGTGTAACAAGGAGGGTGGCTGCCTAATCTCAGTTGGGAAAGAGTTCCATGGGCTCAAGCCCATTACATTGAATGAAAGACTTCTAGTAGTTCTGAGCTGCGTAGCTAAACCATGCGGGGAGGGGGGGGCATTGATAAAAGGCAGCAGAACTGAACGACTTACCACTGAGGAAGTTATAAATAATTGGGTTTGCTGCACTATTTGCATATACAAGCCAGTGGGAGAATGTAAACCAGGCATACACTGTTTCTCTGTCATTGGCATTGTTGAACATCCCAAACACCCTTACGAAAAGAGAAGAAATGAGAAGACATTAGAAATCTGATTAAATCTCAAATTAGCTTTCAGTTTGAAAGATTTGTACACAGAATATGTATCTCAAAATGCAGAGGACCACAAGGACACAGTGTTTTCATTATTATTAAAGGAAAGGGCCTGTGCGTGTTCTCCAAGGGAGTGCAAATCTTATAAGTGACTTCTAAAGTTTACCGCATGCCTTGATTCAGATAACCACACACTGAGAAATATTTCCGGTCACCTCTGGCCTGAATGCTCTGTGTAAAGTGAGAATGGTGGTGCTGATGGGGGAACAAGGATTGTTCTGGTCTTGGACCAGGCAAGTGTTGGTCCTTACCACACTAGCCCTGATCAAGGAGACCTGCTTAGAGACAAGAAGTTACGTGGAATCTTGCTACTTTGGTTGCCCTCACAGTACAAGGCTGCACTCCTCCTTTGCCGGGTGTGCATACTCTAGTTATGTTGTTTTCCTTATTCTTTCAGGAACCTGGCTTATCACTGAGACAACATTAATATTTGCTTGTGCTCTAATTTCCTGTTTACAGAGAAACACTAAACTCACCTAAGCCCCTTCACTCACGTCCCTAAGACTGGAGTGCCCTCTAGTGCCTTAAGTGTATCCTGCAGTTCTTGATTGTTCCCAATGTTGCCTCTTGCAAGATGTCAAGCATGGGCTTGCTGTGGTCAGAACCCTTTCGTTCTTCAAGCAGGTTCTACCACCCTGCCTCTTTTCTCCTTCTCCTCTGCTTCTGAGGCTTAAGCAGCAGCTGAAGGAGCAGAGAGGTGTTTCCACACTTCCTGCTCAACTGTGTTGACAACTAGTCAAGCCAGCCATGTTCACATCAGCTCCAGTTTTGCCTGCCTTTCTGCAAAATTAAAAACCACATGCTAATACCAGGGTCGGGCCATAGCTCATTGCTCAAGCTCATTTCTTGTCCACTGAACGTTCGAGGTTCAGTCTCCAACATCTTCAGCAAATAAGGATTTCACATGACAGAACTGGAAAGGATTTCTGCCTGAGACCTTGTAGAGATCTGAGTCACTGTTGACCATTTGTTTGTGACTTTATGATTTTAAAGTTTTATGTTCTAATTATTTTATTGTATTCTTTTTGACTTGGCAGTTCATAAACAAACAAACAAACAAACAAATGCTAATTTTGCTATAGGGCTAGTCAGCTGAAAAATGGAATCATCCTGCTACCTAAAGACTAGAAAATCACACACAGATGCATATTATTACTCATTGTGTATTAAGGTTACCTTTTTAATACATTGAGAATGCTAATTGGGAGATAGCAGAGGGCAAAAACCAAGAGAACGACCATGAGCATACGTGCTGTTTTCCTCCGGGTTTGGATTTGTTTGATTTCGGCTGCCACAGCACTAATCCTGAAATTTGCCGATGGCTTCTGCCTTTGGGTTTGCGCTGTGGATTGCAGAGGCTTCCATTTTCTCTGAATCACAGATGAAGTTCCTGGAATCTAGCAGAGCATAGTAAAGGGAATGTTAATTATTTCCATTTGCCCAAAGGGAAAATCTGTTAGGCTCACTGGCCCAGAGATAATAATAATAATAATAATAATAATAATAATAATAATAATAATAATAGACACACATGTTGATTTCAATGCAATCTCTTTTCTATGGCTGAAATGAAAGATGCCTTTCCAGAATTGTGTTCATTTTGCTTATGTATCTCCATTCTGAATGTGAACCCCCTTTTGTTAGATATAAGAGAGACCTGAAGAGGGAACTCAGTAAAGATGCTGAATTGATGAAAACTGGGAGGTAACAGATGGCCACCTTGCCAACTTTGGTGCTTTGTGTGACATTTTGTCTGATGATGGTTCGTCTAGGAGTATTAAAAGCAGAATTTTAAAATGATGTTTTAAATTGTATTGTATTGGTTGCATTTTGATTTTGATTTTCTTTTGTATATGGCTTTGTAAAATTGGGTTACAAATTTAGCAAATTTAAACTTAATACCTGCTATACTACTGTAGCGCACCCATAAGACACACCTAAGGATCTAGTTTATGGGTTCATATTGCTAACTTAGCCAAAGATTCATAAACATCTTCAGAGAGATTATTGGTCCAAAATATGGAACTTTTTTATGAATAAAAAAAATCAAGTTGGCAAATACAAGGGATAACCGATGAACAACTGGTTCTCTTAATGAGCTCTAATATCACTGAAAAATTGTGCCCAGTTGTGCCCAATTTCCAATGATATTAAAAAGCCACTATGGTACACCTGCTCTACTTGATGTGACGTACCTGAGCAAAGAGTCAAATCACACTAGCTAATAGGTGTTAAGTAGGCTTGCTGTGTTAATTCTCCTTAATATAACACCTTGTTCACTTTGGCAACTGCACTTGAAAAACAGAGATATGTTATTTTCCATGAGTGGGAGTAGAAACAGCTTCTGCTAATGTATTAAATCTACTCTATCAACAGAAATAAGAAACAAGAAAACATAATATGTATCATGCCGAAGTGCAATGTAAATGTTTCTGAAATGTTTACAACATTTTTCTTTCTCTGTTCTAGGTGATTTTTCCATTTCTTTTGTCAAGCCTTCATCCGAATGTAAACTAAGAGCCAGGGAAGAAAATGATCCTATCTTAGCAGGAATAATTTCATTTCCGCTCTTTAGAGTGAAAATGTAAGCTAAGAATTTGTGGACTGGATGCAAGCACTTACTTTGCTATATCAGTTCATATGCTTGGATGGTTTTGGAGAACATGGTGTTCCTTTTTTGGTGAAAGATTGCTTGCATGTGAATTATACACAATTATTCTACTCTATACCATTAATATATTTTTGTGTCCATTACTGAAATACATAAATATGTCAGTCTTTAAGAGGCATCATGAAATGGATCACACAGATGGATCTCACAGCAAAATAAGCTTACCTGCCGGCACCATAGCTTTTGAAATATCTGCAGGTAGGCCAATACCATTAGACACAGTGGGGCCATATATGTAACCAGGAAAAAACAAGTGTGATACATTTTGGGGTAGACTTCAGCTGCAAAGAAAACCAAAAAGGACTTGAATAACATCTCTTTTGATCTTCTCTACGTGCGCTCATTTGAAGTTGTTAGTTGCTATGTAATTGTTAATGCATGCAACAAACATATTGTAAAATTAAAGGGCTGAATAGATAGGATCGTTTCAAAACAGGAGCCTTTCCTCCAAAACATTCCAAGCACATTATTAACCAAGGCCACTCAGATCCTAGCATGTTTTGCATGTGGTGAAAAGCCTTTAGGGTAGGGTGTTTCACACTTCGTGACCCCATGTACCAGAGCATCCAGGCACTCCTGTCTTCCACTGCCTCCCGCAGTTTGGTCAAACTCATGCTGGTAGCTTCGAGAACACTGTCCAACCACCTCATCCTCTGTTGTCCCCTTCTCCTTGTGCCCTCCATCTTTCCCAACATCAGGGTCTTTTCCAGGGAGTCTTCTCTTCTCATGAGGTGGCCAAAGTATTGGAGCCTCAGCTTCAGGATCTGTCCTTCCAGTGAGCACTTAAGAAAGGATAGGTTTGATCATATATATATATATAAATCCCTTTGACTTTGCAGTTCAGAAGCATTTGGAAGCACCTAGCCATCCAAAGGCATTGGTTACGCCATCGCCTGAAGACCTTGATAAAAGATGAGGATGTAGAAAACAATGGAGAGCAACCTTGAAATCAAGGTTGCGAAGCTTAGATTTCCAAAATTGTTGGCCCCCTGGGGTAAGGGGCAGAAGGCCAGCTAGGATTGTTAGGAACACAGGAAGCTTTCTTCCACTGGTCCATCTACAGTATTGTTGACGTTGACTAGTAGCAGTTTTCTGGGGTTGCAGACAGGAGGTCTCTTCCAACTCTACCTAGAGATGTTGAGGCCTGAGCCAAGGACCTTCTGCATGCAAAGCAGATACCACTGGACTGGACTGGACTGGACTACCACTCTACCTTCACCACTTGCAGCCTGGTCAGAACCTTGTGGAGTCAGGAAAAGTATTGAACTGTGAGGTGAAGATCTAGGATGGAATCTGGCATATAAGGGGTTGAGCCACAGCAACTCTGATGGGTTGTGGAAAAAGCCAGCCAATACATATAGCAGGTTATGGGGTGGTGCCAGACAGAATTGGTAGGTCACAGGCTTTTGAAGCCTAGTGCCTGTTACCTCCTAATGGTCAGACCAGTGAAGTACTGGGTGGCTGGTAGTCCTGCTTTAAGTGCTTTGTACAGAATTCTTCAATGGTGTGAATCTCCCAAGGGTTCTATAAATATGCATGAATTACCCGTTTCCAGCATCTGCAACTCTGATGTTATCTGGGTAAATCTGTATCTTTCACATGAACCAGATGGAGTCGTTTTTCTCTTAGTGCACAGAATATATAAGAAGGTTCAGTAACTGTCTAGGTCTGAAAAGAAACATTGCTGTGTCAGGGAGCCAGAACTGTAATTGAAATTTTACTGCAGGGGAAATTACCATTATCTTAAGTATTTGAGCTCTCAACCGGCAGGACTCAAGAAAGCTCATAAAGAGCCACCACCTGCCTGCACGGTGACCTTCAGGCAGCATAGTGCAAGTATAATTGCAGCATTTATTTCAACAACCATTGGAGGTTTATGGCTTCTAATTTAACATCTTTAGCTTTTCTTTTTTTTAAAAAAAAAAAGGGAGAAAAATGTAGAAGCTGCCAGGCTGTGTACAAGTCGATGATGGATCAAGATGGACGAAGAACGAGCCTTTTCCTTTGAAGTGGTCTCAATCAGGGCGGGGATGCATTTGGAGGCAGAACTTCAAAGAAAACCCAGGGCACATACTTCACATAACAGTTGCTTAAGGACCTTTGTGCTTTAAGTAGAACTAAAGATTCCACCAATGTAGCAATTATTACATCTGACTGACAGGATGGGTAGGAGTGTGAGAGAGCTGAAGGTTTCGTCATCAAGGAACCCAAATCCTTAGCTGCTGGGTGCTGTGTTAAAGCATCGGTGAAATTGCTGAATGGCTCTCAGTGCCTTGATTCAGCTAAAGCTAAAGATTGCCTGTGCATATGTGAGGCTGGTGGTGAACTCATGGCCCAACAGTTACTACATGCTGATCATGTAACTGCAGACCCTGTTTTGTTATACTATGACCAAGCAAATCAGGGCATGCCCCTAAAGAGGAAATCCTTTTTGCTAGGTTGTGTTCCATGTTGAGTTGGGATCCCATTGCCAGTCCCATGTGCTCCCAACAGGAAATTGTGAGGTATTATTGAACCTTTTTGACCGTCATAGCTGGAAAATGGAGCACTGGAAAAGTAGAGGCATTTCAGCTTCTTCACAGAACTCATCTCTGGGAGCCTGAAAAGCAAATTAATTCTAATAGTCTCCCAGGGAAGTGAAAGTATGCTTGACACCGCCTTCTGGCAGGGATGGAGAAATTTCTTCCTCTCGGATTGGCCAATCCGGAAATAAGGAGCAAGGGGAGACTTAAAAGCTGAGGTCGCTGTGATGTCAGCAGGACTGACTTCCAAGCAAATGGATAAAGGGTTCAATCTTTTCCTTCACATACTGTTTTTTCTATATGTAAGGTGCCTTTTGTGTGTGTGCTGCTGAAGAATCCAATCATTCAATCCCCTGACAGTCCAAAGTAAATTAAAACCACAATAGCAAAACAAAGTAAATAGTAAATGCATAGCAAACAGCAGAAGTAATACATTTGTTGTTGTTAAGTCGTTTAGTTGTGTCCGACTCTTCGTGACCCCATGGACCAGAGCATGCCAGGCACTCCTGTCTTCCACACACCAAAAACCCAAAGGCCTGGGGAAACAAAAATGCCAGAGCCAAGAAGAGTTCCTCCTTGGCCCCAAGCACACCTCCTAGGAGAGGGAATTCCAAAGGTGGAGTGCCACCATCGAAAAGGCCCTATCTTCACCTGACTTCTAATGACAGGGAGACACAGAGACCATCTGAACGATCAGTCATTTTACTTGTATGCCACCTTCTGATGTGCTTCTGAAACTGCTCTGAATGCATGGGCTTGCAAGGTCTTGTGGAAGATGGCAGTCCTTAAGGTATCCAGTTACCTTTGGTTATTCTGGTGATACCTTTGGTTATTTTGAGCTATCTAAAGGCCTGTGAAATTTCACAGATGAGGTGGTGGTTGGGAGGGAGAGAGTGTTTGCATGTTTCCCATAGGCACCTGACCAGTTCCTGTGAAAACAGCAGACCCACCCCATGTTTCTATGTTCACACGTTCAAGTCGTGAGCTATGTCAACATAGGCACAATATAGGCCCAACACAGACACCAACATAGGTGTCAAAGGGCACCCTTCTGGGCTGTAGAGAGCTTTCCTCTTAACAGTAACCACATTTTACCCAACACTTGTACCCAGCAGTGCTGCTCAGTGGGGTGGAGAACAGCTCACCTAGTTTCGCAATGAAGAGATCATTTCTGGTAACTGAGACACAGAGGAGAAGGGTGGAGCCAGTGAGGAGGTCAGTGCTGTGGTGGAACCAATCTGATGCTCCTGCTGCTGCGTCCACACCGCAGAGACCTCCCTCCTACCTTGCCACCCCCTCTCAGTTATAGGAAGCAACGCAAGCAATACTGACCCACCCAATACTGACTGCTACTGCTTGTACCTAAGAAATCCAGTTAGAGATTAAAGGCAGCTAAAAGCCAGTGCCAGAGAAGATCATGCAAAGTCCTGGTTTCAACCAATACCCAATAATTCAGGAGATGAGATGTTCATATAGTGGGTTTGTTAACTGTACAGTTTTCCTTCCATAATGTCCATGTGGGCAGTTCCAGTCCTGTGGTGAAAAACACTCACCTCCCCAGTGTTCATCGCAAACCGTGAATAAGATGGTTTTATTGGCTAATGCTGGCAAGACATGGCTGCACTCCATGACGAACGCCTGGGGGATCATTATAATGCAGGACACAATCCAGATAATGATAATGCTGTTCCTGGCCCGCTTGGCTGTGCTTTTAAACATCAAAGGGTGACAAATTGCATACCATCGATCCAGGGCAATGCAACTCAGGGTTAGCACGGAAACAGAGACCGACACAGTCTAGGAAGGGGGGAAAGGAACAGAAGGGCAACAAAACATCAGTAAAAACAAGGAGGAGGGAAATGTTGCTTTGGCACTTTTAAAGATTCTTTCAGAATCACATTAACTTTCCCCTCCATGGGCACAATCCAGCTAACAAAAGTCACCTCTCAGTCCCGTTAAAAGCAAAGGACTGGACCACCCGTGTGCTGTTAGGGGTTTTTCCTGACTCCCATACCCAATTTATTTGGGGGGTGGGGTGCATAGGAGGAGGGGGGAGGGTGAAGTCTTTGCACAGGATTGGTTAGGTAAATGCCATCTAGAGTGCCAATCATCTGCAAATGAAAAGAAGTCCCCCCCCCTTTTGTAAAAAAAGCATATTCTTGTTATGAATCTGGGAGTGCAAGGCACACTAAATTCGGGATTAAGCTAGTGGTAGGTTTTAATTTAAGTCTGGAGTATCAAAGACAGGAAATGGCCAGACACATGTGTATTTAGTATCAATCAAGTGTGTCTTTGAGCCATGCATGATCTTGCTAATCCTTTAATTAATCCAAGTGTTACAGCTAATTAGGTCAGAACTGGCCTACTGCAAGTGAGGTGTTAGCAATGAGTCATTAGCAACTACAGTATAAGGGATTGAAGAAATTTACCATAGAGTGCAAAGAAATAAGCCCCTTTGACTGGAGAGATAAAAGCCAAGATCTCAGAGAAGGGAGGGGCCAGAATGTGGGCCAGAAATTGAGTGAGGTGGTATAATAATAATAATAATAATAATAATAATAATAATAATAATAATTAATAATTTATTTATACCCAGCCCATCTGGCTGGGTTTCCCCAGCCACTCTGGGTGGCTTCTAACTGAATATTAAAAACAATACAGCATCAGACATTAAAAACTTCCCTAAGCAGGGCCGCCTTCAGTTGTCTTTTAAAAGTAAAATACAGGGTAGTTGTTCATTGCCTTCACATCTGCTGGGAGGGTGTTCCACAGGGCAGGCGCCACTACTGAAAAGGCCCTCTGCCTGGTTCCCTGAACCTCACTTCTTACAGTGAGGGAACCACCAGAAGGCCCTCATCGCTGGACCTTAGTGGATGATGGGGGTGGAGACGCTCCTTCAGGTATACAGGACTGAGGCCATTTAGGGCTTTAAAGCACCAACACTTTGAATTGTGCCTGAAGATCTTTCAGGACCGGTGTTATATGGTCTCGGCCGGCAGCCACTCCCAGTCACCAGTCTAGCAGCCGCATTCTGTATTAATTGAAGTTTCCAAGTCACCTTCAAAGGTAGCCCCACATAGAGCACATTGCAGTAGTCCAAGTGGGAGATAACTGGAGCATGCACCACTCTGGCAAGACAATCTGCGGGCAGGTAGGGTCTCAGCCTGCATACCAGATGGAGCTGGTAAACAGCTGCCCTGGACACAGAATTAACCTGTGCCTCCATGGACAGCTGTGAGTCTAAAATGACTTCCCAGGCTGCGCACCTGGTCCTTCAGGGGCACAGTTACTCCATTCAGGATCAGGGAGTCCTCCACACCCGCCCGCCCCTTGTACCCCAAGAACAGTACTTCTGCCTTGTCAGGATTCAACCTCAATCTGTTAGCTGCCATCCATCCTCCAACTGCCTCCAGGCACTCACACAGGACTTTCACCACCTTCACTGGTTCCAATTTAAAAGAGAGGTAGAGCTGGGTATCATCCGCATATTGATGAACACCCAGCCCAAACCCCCTGATGATCTCTCCCAGCAGCTGCATGTAGATGTTAAAAAACATGGGGGAGAGGATGGAACCCTGAGGCACCCCACAAGTGAGAGCCCAGTGGTCTGAACACTCATCCCCCCCCACCACTTTCTGGAACGGCAGTGACAAGCAAAAGTGCAGGATGCAGAGAAAAATGGCTAGTGTCTGTTGAATCAAATGCTGTGCTTCTGGAGAAGGTAAAACTGCCTTGGAGTGTAATGCTGGGGACTGCCCCCCCCCAAAGCAGGCTCAAGTTGTGTGTATATGTGTGTAAATAAACCATATCTCATAAAGAAACCACAGTCTTCACCGTGCTTCATTTTCCCAATGAAACACAGGCCCAGGTGGGAAATTTGTGCTTGGAATCTCACACTTCTCTGGGGATTGGGGTGGCATGTTACATTATGTTTCATGAAAGGATGCACTCTCTTCATCTAGTAGGTGCTTTAGAGCAGTGTTCCCCAACCTTGGGTCTCCAGCTGTTTTTGGACTACAATTCCCATCATCCTTGACCACTGGTCTTGCTAGCAGGGGTTGATGGGAGTTGTAGTCTAAAAACAGCTGGAGGCCCAAGGTTGGGGAACACTGCTTTAGAGGAAAGGCCTGATGTGGTGGGAGAAATTCTATGATGGAGGGATGTGGAAGAAGGCCAATAAAACAATGGGAGAGTTTTGGATATAAATGAGACGAATGCGTTAACACCCTAAGAGGGCCCTGTTTCTCCCATAGCTGCAGCATTGGATTGTAAACAAGCACCAAACATTGCTCTGTCTGTCCTCTCCCAGTTTGCTGTTTTTACACCATTGCTACCTCTGCTCCCAGCTCTGCCTTTTTCTGTTGAGGGATCCATTTGCTGTCTTGCGCTAAGCCCCTTAATCCCCCATCACCTCGCCAGGAAGCTAGTTTGGCTATTTCCCAGAATTAGAAGGTTTAATTAACTTTTAACACTTGCTGGATCCAGAGATTAGAGGGGTCAGGCACCTGACCTCAATGCATAACACTATACATATTTATATTAAAATGTAGCCCGCCCAGTCCTCCCCCCCAACCTGGGAAACAATACCTGCAAATAAGGGATCACCTTGCACAGGCTGTCCCCAAGGAACCACGTCTCGGTGATATCCACCACTAACGTTGCTGGAAGACAAGTGATGGTGACAAGGACGTCAGCTAGTGAGAGGTTGACTATGAAGTAATTGGTGACTGTTCTCATGTGGTGGTTTTTCCATACTGCAACACAAACTATTTGCAAAGAAGAATCAATAGGGACATCAGGAAACAACAAATCAGAACAATGCAATTATCTTGGTCCAAGAGGAGTGACCAGAAAAGGCCAGGGCTTGGGAACCAAGTTTCTCAAAGTTGTGCCTTCTAAGCATTACTTAATCTTCCATATCTTCTCCCAGTTTAAGATCCTCTCATTGGGTACACTCAGACGGTTTCTACGTCTCCTGTAGTGTTCAGGATCAGTTCAGGGTCGTGGAGTGAAAGGAGGGATCTGCCTGGGATGCCCAAGCCATATGATTGTCTTGGAGAAAGAACAACTGCCTACATTCTTGGAGAAGGCACACAGAAGCGAATATACAGATGGGGGAACTCCCATCATTATCAGTGACTTAGATGAGAGCCTTCTCATGCCCATCAACATCAATACTGTTGCCAAGAGGTTTAAAATGAAAATGAGAAAAAGGTACCTCTGATAATAATAATAATAATACCTTTATTGTCAATGTACAACCTGTGTACAATGAAATTAACTGAGCCTCCCTCCCCTCCCCAAACACTCAATCTCATTGCACTCTGTGTGCTTGTCGCACAACACACCAACCCCAAAAATCAGTTGCACTATATTATTTTCCCTTCAGCAGCCCATGGATAGAAACTGTTTTTTTAACTTGTTGGTATGACTGATTATACTTCTATATCTTCTGCCCGAGGGTAGAAGATTAAAGATGTGCTGGCCGGGGTGTGAATGATCCCTGAGAATTTTTCTCGCTCATTCAAGTCTTGCTCATTCAACTACTACTACTATTATGCTGCTCAGCAGGGCTCTATTTAAGCATTCAGTTTGCTCATATCAAGGTGGAGGCCTGATGTCTAGTCCCACCAGTGTTTGCCTGCATGCTGAGTTGTAAGGGGAAGGTCTACAGTAAGGAGCCTTCTGTACAGGCTCCCTGTGTGATTTAGAACTGAATATTCGGGGGGGGCATTTTGCACAGGGAACTTGCATGAGTTCAGAGGACTTCCAAATCCAGAGTTTTGTTCTTCAATTCATGGAGGTCAGCTGGCACAGGAACATGAAAGCATGGGTCTACTGTGCACACGCACGCACGCCGCACGCGCGCGCGCACACACACACACACACACACACACACCACTCTCCCCAAGGGATTTAGAATCACTTCAGTAAAATGAATGTTCAAATAATGGCTCATGGGCTTCAGCACTCTGTTTCAGTAGCGTCCAATGAAATTATAATTTTGGTTGGATTACAGAATGAGAAGGGATTTGCGCCATCTTGGAATTGGCTGAGTGCTTATCTAGTTGATTGATGATGCCTGCAATCCTGAGCAGACTTACTATGGAGGAAGCCGCAATGAACTTGGTGGGATTTACTCATGAGTAGGTATGGGGAAGGAACTTGGTTTGGTTCTCACACTTAAATCACATTTTCCAATACAACGCATGAATGCACATATAGCTGTCCTGTGAAATTCACACTTATCCAAATATTGAGAGGCAGTTCTCCAACCGATATTGGAAGAGAGTATGCATTAAAATGCATATAGCAGTGAACATAACAGACAACAAATAACTGACAATTTTTTCATATACAGTGGTGCCTCGCAAGACGAAATTAATTCGTTCTGCGAGTTTTTTCGCCTTGCGAATTTTTCGTCTTGCAAAGCACGGTTTCCCATAGGAATGCATTGAAAATCAATTAAGCTTCAAAAATCACCAAAGTCTTCAAAAACCTCAAAAAAGGCTACCACACCGCGTGCTATGAGTTGCTCCTCGAAGTCAAGTTGCAACTGCACCTCTTCAAGCAATGCACCCTGGGTATTAACGGTTTTAAGAAAAAGGAAACAAACTTGCAAGACGTTTTCATCTTGCGAAGCAAGCCCATAGGGAAATTCGTCTTGCGAAGTAACTCAAAAAACCAAAAACCCTTTCATCTTGCGAGTTTTTCATCTTGCAAGGCATTCGTCTTGCGAGGTACCACTGTAGTTGGGTTTTTTTTTTTGGCATCAGATTTTCAAATCTGCATTTGACTAGCAAAATCATGACAACAGAAATATTATTCTCCCTCTTAGGATTTATTTTGCAGTTTGGAGGAGTGGGAGGGGGAAATACTTAATTTGTTTCATCACTTTCTTGCTTGAAGAACATCTGAAGTGTTTGCAGTTCATTCATTTTGCCACAATGTGTCAGCCTGCTCCTTTTCATCCTGCCAATAAAATAATGGCAAGGATTTGCCTCTAGCAAAGTCCTGGTCCTTGCACTAGGGGAATTGCAGCTTCTAAGAACGGATCTCAAGAATGGGTCCTCCCCAAAACCACAGAAGAAGCATTATGTGTGCAAAAAACCACCACTATATTCCTTTCTCCACAATTTTTTTGCTGCACAGATAACACCACTGAGACAGATTCCGTGACAAAATAACAAGCAGAGGTGCCCATGTGCTTGATGAAAGAGCATTCTCCACCAGCATCACCACCAGCATCACAAATTCAAGGATGGTGAGGGGTCCAGGCCTGCTCCTTAACCCCAGGCTCAAGAATAGGTTTATACTAAACCTAAAAAGGTAAAAGGTAAAGGACCCCCGACAGTTAAGTCCAGTCCCAGATGACTCTGGGGTTGCGGCTCTCATCTCGCTTTATTGGCCGAGGAAGCCAACGTTTGTCTGCAGACAGTTTTTCCGGGTCATGTGGCCAGCATGACTAAGCCACTTCTGGTGAAACCAGAACAGCGCACAGAAACGCCGTTTACCTTCCCGTCGGAGAGGTACCTATTTATCTACTTGCACTTTGACGTCATGGGGATTCGGACCACCGACCTTCTGATCGGCAAGCCCTAGGCTCAGTGGTTTACACCACAGCGCCACCTGCGTACCCAATACTAAACCTACCGAAGGGCAATAAAATGCCAGCTGTCACAGAGCATAAGAAATGTGTGAATAACTCAGATGAATGTCACCCAACAGTCCCTCTACCATACTCCCAGGAACTGGCACAGCACATCCAGAAGCACACTTCCAGAAGCAGGCACACCGCTTCTGGTGGCAGAGGAAGAGGAGGAGGAGGAGAAAGAGTTGGTGAAGATAAGGTGACAATGTGTGGGGGGGCAGCCACAGTGAATGTGGCAGGCAGGGGGTGGCTGCGGTGGGGAGGCGGCATGATGTGGTGTGTGAGTGTGTGTGCCCTGGATTTGTGTGAGAAGATGTCAGAAGGCATGTCTTGGGCAAGAGTTTTGCCGGATTGCTGCATGCATTAAAGCACTGTGTGCAATATCTAAACTCAGGGTAAACAAACCCAGATCCCACAGATACGCATAGTTGGTTTTTAAGCAATATTTTTTCAATGCAATGCACCGCTCCACTCTGTCCGGGTCAGAGACCTGCTGCACTCCTCAGCTGCAGTCCTCACCTTGTGCACAGCTGCTGCTTGGCCAGGCCAAAAGAGATGTGGAGAGGGGCAGTTTCTGCCACAGTGGGTCAGGCAGGTGAGCAAGTGTGGCCTGGGCGAGAGCATAAAGCTCTTCATGGCATTCTCGGAGCAATGTGCAGCTTCTTTGGCATGAACCCACAGCAGCAGCAGCAGCAAAAAAGCAACAGCCCGCCCCCCTGAACCAAAGTAAGACACTTTTCAGTTTTGTCAGGTGCTATTTAAGAATTGCAATGCTGAAGTGTCCACTACAAGTGTCTGCAAGGAAGATGGATGGGGAGAAAACCAGAAGAAGGTGGCTGCTTCCCTGTGACCGTACTCCCCCCATGGCATCCTAGCTGCTCCACCAGGTCTAGTGGACACCAGCTGCCACTGGGTAGATTTGACGAATTTATGACTTTTCTGACTTGCCTTTCTTTCCTCCTGGAACTCAAGGACCCATGCATGGAGTTCCCACTTTCCATGTGTCCCCCTATCCAGGCGTAGGCCAGGCCCATACCTGCTTAGCTTCGGCACATGGCTTCTGAACATGGCCTGGTGTCAGGGAATTGGAGGCTGCTAGGGAAACGACGGGGGAGGGAGACAAGTATAGAGAGCCCAAGCCGGTATTCAGCAGTGTCTCTTCCTCGTCAGAGGAGGAAACTGGCAGGGTGGAGTCTAGGGCAGGACCCAGCCACTCACAGGGCCGAGGAAAGAGGAGGCGTGATTTCCGGAGATGGGTCTGCTGGCAACGTCACAGGAAGAGGGCAGATGACTCCTCTGAATCCTAGAGTATGGACGTTTGTGTTTGAACTCTCATGAACTTCTTTGAAGCTGAGAAATAAATCTTGTACAGAGATGGCGCCGTGCCCGGAGCTTATCAGCACACCGTTTCCTCACACCTGGGATGGATGCAAAAATGCCCAGCTAGCTTGGCAAAAACCATGACCAAGTCAGCCGCATTGCGATACCATCATCCATGAGCCAGTTGTGAAATGGGAGCGTAGATCTCTTTATCTAGCTTAAGAGAACACTTAAAAATATGGCCTTTATTCATCTACTGAAGAAATGAAGGCCATTCTTGAAGGACATCTTACTAAGAGCCTGTTGAGTTATAAAGGCACGTGCACTTAAACAGTAACTAAAAGAAAAAACCCACTCACTCTTTCTGTGGTTAGATGGGTTTCGAGTGAGGTGAGAGGTGAACCATTATTAAATCTGCTGACTGAGTGCATGATAAATTCCAAGTGCTGATCGGAAGTGAGTAGGGAGCACAGACATAGCAGGCCTCTCTCCAAGGGAGCAGTAACAACACACTTTGCAAAACACTGGCTGCTTCAAGGCTACATCTAGCAAAAAACATAGCAGCACATTGGCAGGGTCTATGATGGATTTTGTTTTATATCAGCTGTAAATCTTCCTGGATGATGCCTTTCTCTTTGCTCCATGTGGCAAGCTGTTCTTGACACCTGCATAAGAGGTCAACCATGGTTGTAAAGCCTGACCCGCCAAGGGACAGCCCCAGATTTACAGAAGCTGTCCCGGTTTCTGATTTGATCCCAGAGTGTCCCACTTTTCCTTGGGATGTCCCTGTTTTCA